CTGTGCACAAATTGTCTGCTGCAGTCTCCTACAATATAAGGTCATCTCACTTTCCGGTAAAATAACTTGAAGCGCTTTGACTGACCCGCCTGGTGTGAAAGGCAAGCGATCAAAAGCAACAATCATTCTACATACCCCAGCATCTTGTTGATTGATAACTGTAGATAATGGGGTATCATTTATATGTTTGTGCATTGTATGAGGCTATACTTTATGTGGAATACGAAAATGTTAATCCAATGAAAAATATAATGCAAAGATTTTAGAGTTTATTACTGCAGCAATAATTAGTACAATTTTTATAATGTTTTTGATCTCTAGAATAACATTCTGCACTGTTTCTTAATCCTACCTCTCGTCTCATTGAGTCTGATGTTCTGGTCCAGCATACAGTGTCAGGTATTTAGTTGGCAGGACTTTCACTTCTGGGTCATAGATTAATGGTTTATGCTCCACATCAGGTTATCAGCTTGTAGGAGTCTTGGCTAATATTCTAGGTATGCTGGTTTGTTTCAGGTGCCATCCTTCAGATAAGGCATTAAAGCTGAGATCCTGTTCATGTAGACGTCAAAGATCCCATGGCACTATTCAAATGGAGAAGGGAATTTATCCCAGTGTCCTGACCAACATTCTCCCAGATAGAATTAGTTATTCACTTGATGGCTATTTGTGAAACTGGGACGTCCTCCTGATGTGAAGGCCGCTATATAAATGTAATTTTGTTGTTGTTGTTGTGCAGAAATTGTCCGCTGCATTCCCCTACAAAAATAGTCACTACACGTCACATTAAAATTCTGTGAAGCACTTTGAGAAGTCTCAATGGCATAAGGTCTATATCAAACGCAAAGCTTATTATTATTTTCACTTACAGCCTACAATCAGTCATTCACAACATTGGCTGTTTGCGGGACCTTGCTGCCTGCAAAAGGGCTGGGTTTACCTACAAATGAAACCAATTCCCAGTGAAGCGAGACATTTTCATGTTATGCTGCAGGCACTACATCAAATGCAAAGATATTTATTTATTCTCAGATTGGAGAAATCTTGTTCCTTGAACCAGTCAAAATCAACTTTAGTTCTGACATTTCCTTGACAGATTACATAAACTAGTTCAAGTTTGCAAATAAAGAGTAAGGAATAGTTTAAGAAATACTTGGCAGAGAATTTTGGCACCTGGCAAGGGGTGTCTGAACTTGCATCAGTGAATATGTTTGTGGTTCAGTGTTGGAAACTGCCTTTTGAAGTTATTCATCCTTTTAGCTGAGAAGAATGTTGTTGAACACAAAAATTTATCAGCTACTGTAATCTTAAAATTTTATGAAAACACTGGTCCCTGAAGAGGGGCTGATAAGTAGATCCGTAAACATAAAAAAAGGGAAGAAAGCAATAAGCAGTGCCTCTACTGCCTTTATTATCCACAATAGAGACCCCTTGTATCTGCACTAAATGGGACCCAACCCATTGAGATATAAAATCAGTACAGCTAATGGCTTTCGGAGTGTTTGTATGGGTGTACCTGTATCTCTAGTTGTCTCTGTGGGGCTCAGTGTATAAAAACAAAGCGGGAATGCTGAATCATTAATAAGGTTGTGATTGGAATATTATTGACACCCTCCTCCAGCTGCGGCTCCCAGTTCACTGATGTCCTGTCAGCTTGTTTGGATGAGCACAAATTTCTTGCAGGTGGATGTCAGCAAAATAGAAGGCATACTCTTTGGCTCCCTTCAACGTCTTCTCTCCTACAGGTCTGAACTCCTCAACCTCCCCAGGCTCTGCCTCAAGACTCTCCAAACCTGTGCGCAACTCAGGCCAGGTTCGATCCCCAGCTTCCCTTTCTACCCCACATCCGTTCCCTGACCAGGACCCCTTTATTCCACCTCTGCCACATTGCTACCTCCGTCCATACCTCACAATTGATGCAGCTGAACCACTCCATCATCACTTCCTGCCTGGACTATTCCAATGTTCTCCTCGCTGGTCTTCCCAGTGCCACCATATACAAAATCCGATTAATTCAAAACTCTGCGCCCGGATACTGACCTGCACGAAACTCCGTACCCCCATCACACCAGTCCCTGCCAGGCTCCCAATCACTGAATAGATTGATTTCAAGATCCTCTCACTCGTTTTCAAATCACTTCATGTCGTTGCACTTCCCTACCTATCCGACGTGTTCACCCCCCATTCCACCACCCACTGCCTCCACTCGGCTGGCTTCAGCCTCCAGTTTGTGGCTTGTGTCCTCCATTCTACCATCGGTGGCCATGCCTTCAGTCACTATGCCCCAAAACTCTGGAATTCTCTCCCCCCATCCCTCCGCCATGCCCCCTCTCTCCCCACTTTTATATCCCGCCTAAAGACCTTCCTTTTTTGATCGTGCTTACGGTCACCTTCCTCTCCCCCATCTCAGTGTCAGACTCCGCCACTGTCAAGCGCTCCGGGATGCTACCCACGTGAAGGGCGCTATATAAATGCAAGTCGCTGTTGTTATATAGGAAGGATGTCAAGACCATTAGGCAGGTTGCAGAGAAAGTTCACGAGGGTTAGATCAGGGATTAGAAGTTCTACTTATGAGCAGAGACTGGAAGAACTGGGCTGGATTCCCGAGGAGAGAGGAGGTTAAGAGGAGACCGGAAAGAGGCTTTTAAAATTTTTAGGGGATTTGAAAATGTAAATAGAAATTATTTTGCACAGAGAGTTGTTGGAATACAGAATGCCACATGGTTGAGACAGATTCCATATTAGATTTTAAGAGGGAATTAGTAAATACCTTAAAACGAGAAAAATAAAATGGTATTTGGAAAAGGCTAAAAAGTGAACGATGAATGAGACTAAACAGATAATTATTTCAGAGCCGGTAGAGACATGATGGGTGAATTAGCCTACCTTTGTACTGAAATATCTGTTGATCCTGTGTCTCTCTGCCTCTCTAACTGTCTGTGTGTGTTTCTGTATGTGTGCCTCTCTCGTCTTGTACCTATTTGGACTGGATTGATCTACCCGGGATAGCTAGTTCAGTCCCACTCCATTAATATTGCAATCCTGGATGCCCACAACTGAAAAATGTTTCCCAAATTGTAGCCTGGTTTAATGTGCTCATCGGAGCTGGATGTCAATAGGGGGCTGGTGGTACAGCCGTTACACCCTGCTCACTGGAACTCTTCCAGTACCTCTTAGCTTTGCTTCCTCTCTCCCTGCTTCCGAAAAACATATGTTTTTGACTGGACTTTGAATCAACACCCTTCTTTCTAGTCGATGATCCTGCCAAAGTGCTTCAGATGCCATTTTACGTGTAAGGGACTATATAAATGTAGACTGTTGTACTGATTTGATGCTTTTCTGCAATTTAAATGCAAGTAAGTAAGTGCTAGTGATGAAAGGTAGACATGCTGATTTTTAATTGCAAACCAGCAAGTTGCTTGCTTTTGAATCTTGCCCAAACTTTAGAATAACATGTTTCAGGCTTGTAGGGAATTGAAGGTTTTTCATTGAAGGTACATGTTGGTATGTGTACCAGTCTTAATAGATTAACAACAACAACAACAACAACAACAACAAAATTACATTTGTATAGTGCCTTTCATGTCGGGAGGACGTCCCAAGGCGCTGGACAGTCAGTGTTACGGACCCGAGCTGGGGGTTGGGATTGGGGAGGGTGGAGGGCAGGCGGGAAAGGAGGGTGATGGCACGATTGAGGAGCAGGGTCTTGAGACGCGTCTTGAAGGAGGCAAGGGAGGGGGCAAGGCAGAGTGACTGCAGGATGGAATTCCAGAAGGTGGGGGCAGAGAGGCAGAAGGCCAAGCCCCCAATGGTGGGGCGGGCAAGGAATGTGAAGCATGCTGAGCGGAGCGAGCGGCTAGGTTGGTAGGGGGTTAGGAGGTTGTAGAGGTAGAGGGGGGCAAGACTGTGGAGGGCTTTGAAGGTGAGGACCAGGATCTTGAATTGTATCCGCTGTGTGATGGGAAGCCAGTGGAGTCAGACAAGGATGGGGGTGATAAGATCACGGAGCCTGGTGTGGGAGAAGACACGGGCTGCAGAGTTCTGGATGATCTGCAGCCTGTGGAGGGAGGAGTTGGGGAGGTCGACAAGCAGTGAGTTTGCATAGTCGAGCCTGAATGTTATGAATGCGTTTATGAGGGTTTCGGTGGCCTGCAGTGTGAGACAGTGTCGGAGCCGGGCGATGTTGCAGAGGTGGGGAAAATCAGAGTGGGTCATCGCACAGATGTGGGGTAGACAGGACAGTTGAGGGTCAAACAAAACGCCAAGCTTCCAGACTGGCTTAGCAAGGCGGAGCGTGTAGCCTTGGATGGTGATGCTGTTAACGCCTGAGGTGTGGAGGCGCTTCTGTCAGGACAGCAGTGGTCCTGGAGTCAAGGATGGAGGCAGAGAGATAGAGTTGGGTGTCAACTGCACACATGTGGAAGTTGACCCCACGTCTGCGGATGATGTCACCAAGAGGGAGCATATAGATGTTGAAGAGGAGGGGACCAAGGACACAGCCCTGAGGAACGCCACACAAGACAGTGTGGGGGCTGGAGAAGAAGCCATTTGTGGAGATGAAATGGAGACGGTGTGAGAGATAGGATCTCAACTATTCAAGATAGAACCATGAAGGTTGAGGTGAGAGGAGAGGTGGTGGAGGAGAATAGAGTGGTCAACGGTGTCAAAGGCAGCAGAGAGGTCAAGGAGGACGAGGAGGCAGAGGGAGCCCTGGTCGCAGATGGACAAAATGGACAAAATGAAATAATATCCAAAGACACATTTGTACTATGTGACCATTTTCATTATTTTGCCATTGGCAACTAATAAGCTGCAATACTCTTAATTCTTGAAACTCTATAGATTTCACACCCTTGAGCAAAGGAGAATCAAGGTTCGCACATGTGTGTACATCATCTGCATTAGTTGCAGTTTTTTTCTTAAGTGAAATACAGCAGTTCATTAACATTTTAATCAGGAAGTGCCAATGTTATATGATGATTTTGTTTTGTTTTGAAAAGCTTATTTAGTAAGCCGAGTGGATGGCATTGAAACCCAAAAATGGGAGAATAATCGAATCAGCATTTATCACATTAGCAGCAGTAAGACTGCTGAGGAGACGCATGGTAAGTCAGGTTGGAAGACTGAAATGTGCTTGGCAATAGGCTTGTTGAGCAATCTAACATTTATCAGCCATAATGTCTTTACACTTTAATATTGTCATAATACTTGGGTTGAATTTGTGATTTTTAGTAATGTCGTTCCTGACACTTAGTAACAGTTTTCACAGATAATTTACAGTATTAAAATGGTGCTGACGTTCTAAGTACATAATATTCTCTAACGTTGTAACTGCTTAATTCAACGGAGCTCCCCTCCACAGCTTACAATATACAAGCTTGTTTTTTAATCTACAAAAGCTTTCAAACAAATTTCATGAGCTAAACTTTAATAATCTATGGACTTGTTGATAATTTACAGGTTTTGCGATTCATTTCAACATGTTGTTCTGAGTGAAGTAACAGAACCTACTCTAAATCTTTTTAGTTTGGACAGGAACGTTTTGAAACCATAACGCTCTTTAGTTACAGAGGAACTCTCTTACAACATGATTCTCTCATCTTCTCCAAGAAGAATGAGCTATGAGCAATGATTAGACAAGTTCCTCAGTCTTGAGAGAAGATGTCTTTAAGAGTTGTATACAATTTTAAATTAATTGAAAAACTAAATCTAGGACAATACGTTAGGATGAACCAAGACAGTAGAACAAGAAGACATAGGTTTAGAATTGCAAAGGGCAATTTTAGGACAGACATTAGGAAGCTTTTTTTTATCCACAGGCAGTTGCCAGAAAGGGTGGTTGAAGCTGGGACATCTTGATTCCTTTAAAAAGCACCCTAATGCTGTGACTGGAAGAAGGTAAGATTGAGGGATGAGATCAGATGGGTTGATGGACCTTCTTGATCCACACCGATCTTGTGATCTTGTGAATATCTCAGCGACTGTTATAAGTGAAAAAATGGCCTCCTCCAGATTGTCAAGTCAGGACCCATGTTACCATCTGCAAACTAGAAATGCACACAATGCATAGCAAAAAGCATCCCTGATGTCACTAACTTAGTGGAATGGTATTAACGTTATTTCCTGTGCATATTGTGCATGTATGCAATGAAAACAAAGACTTCATGATCCGGAAGTTGGCTTTTAGTGTAGAAAGTTAGCGAGTCAACACCAGAAGCCAAATGTGCTGAGCTTCTGGTTAGGGTGGGTCTACAGAACACCAGTGTTGTGAGTGAAGCTGTGTTAAAACAGAGGATGATCTTCCTAACAATTTTATCCTCCAGAATTTTTTCTTTGGTCAGCCGGTTATCTGACACATGTGGAAACCCACCACCATGCTTAAGAGTATCCAAACCAAGCTGAGAATTCCATGCATCCCACCTACACATGGAAATCCCAGAGATAAATTATTGGAATGGAATGCGCACTCTCTCCTGGAGGGCTGCATCCAGCTTACTTAATTCCGGAAAGTATTAGGTGCAGGTTGGCAAGAACCAAGGTTTGGGGACCCAGAGTGTGAGATGGGGCACTGCTGAAGACTTAACAGCAAAAACCTCATAGCTTGCCATTGATATCACTGTCCGGCATTACTCGTGACCGTCAACATTTAACATCATGGTCAAGATGCAAAAATGTTGTCACAAAGGCACCTTTGTTGAAACCAAGGGAAGGATTCAACATGTTTAGGTTGCCTAAAAGGAATAGAAATAGTTGAATTGTAATCAGAGTAAATGATGTCAGAGGTACAAAATGCACAATGAACTTTGGGTATTACAACTGAAATCATTGCTCTCACATCGTGAAGTAAACAGAATGGTTGAGTGTGTTTTGAAATTCAAACTCAACTATGCAATAAAACAGTGGGTGTGCTTGTTCTGGTACCAATGCACAATTGCTCAGTTGTTAGATATTTGGCAACACTAATCAAGAGCGGGTCATTTCAGACTTCATCTTCTGATTTCATGTTTCATCTTTCTGAACATGATTAAGTCAGACATGAGGTTTCAATAAATGCATTTTTTCCCTGATTTCATTGTGCAAAGCATTCAGTTTACCAAATATTTTCCCCATGTGTTCTCACAGATAATAAAACATGGCGGCAAAGAAAGAGATGGGATTCATTGAGCAGATGCAAGGCACTTCAGCACATGGACTGCATTTTAATAGGACTTTTATCATATTCTGGAACCTGATCAATCAATTCACTTCTTTGTTTGCTTCCCTTTTTCAATCTCTTTTACTTGGATTGGTACCTGATTTTAAATTACCCTGAATGTGAACTCAGTAACAGCAATATGAAGAGAATTAAGTAGACAGATTTGGCAGATTCTATACAATATAAAATCACATTTGTATAGCGCCTTTCACATCAGGAGGACATCCCAAGGTTTTAGCTTTTAATGTATACCTGTGTCTGTATGTTTGGGCCAGTGAAGGGGGCAAATTGAGACAGAATAAGGTGACCAGGATCTCTTCACCTATACTCTTTCTGAGGCAGCTATGATTTGTATTTACTGTACTTCACTTTTATTTGTAAGATTTGTTTTGTTTGTTTGCCTTTGCATTGCCTGAGTACTTTGACACTCTGACAAGTGATCTCTTAGAGAGAGAAAGGAGAGTTCAGCTTTAAGCCTAAAATCAGCACACTCAGCCAGTAAGAAACAGAAGTTAAGCCAGTAACAAGAGAAGGGTTCTGCTTTATATCAGCTCACCGACTAATCTCATAAATGCCAATCCATAGTTAGCCTTGACGATGTGTCCGGGTTGCAGAATTTAGGAATGAAAGCCTTTCTAAGTGACCTTTAACAAGGTTTTAACAAGGTAAATTAATAGGATTTCACCAATTGCCATTAATCTTCTTAATACTAGTTTGGGAGTATCATAATATCGGAGAGAACCAAATCTATCATTAGCAGGATTGCCTAAAGATCCACCACATTCTTAAGCACCAGAATGTAGCTGCCAACAACACCCCAGAGGAATGCTTTGCTTTGAATCCTGTAATGAAAAGTTGTGCCAGTAAAACAGACATTTGCGAACAGTGTGGAAACAAAACAACCTGTCAGTTGCTGCAGCACAAAGCAAAATCTGTGGGAAGAAAATTCATCTTCTCATTGTGTGCAAATTCCCACCATTGTCAAAAGCAAATTCTACAGATGTTGACCCAATCAGTGAAGGTTATGAAGAACATGTTATTGTGAATACTGTTACCAAGCAGCAAAAGTGAGTCATAGGTAATAACACAAGTTTTAATGGAAGTGACATGCCCTGAAGCTAGATAATGGATCGAGTGTTAACATTATAGAAGATAAAAAGAAACCCAATTACAAGACAAAATTACACTGGAAGACAGGGAGGCTCGGTCGAACAGGAGAGTTTTGGGACCCGCCTTGAAGGAGGCAAGGGAGGGAGCGAGGCGAAGGGAATGTGGGATGGAGTTCCATAGAGTGGGGACAGAAAGGCTGAAGGCCCAACCGCCAATGGTGGGGCGGGCCAAGCGGTGGTCACAACCTGTTGAGTGGTGGCAGCGGACAGGCTGATATAGGGTTAGTAGGTCGCAGAGGTAGGAGGGGGGCAAGGCCACAAAGGGCCTTGAAGACGAGGACAAGGATTTTGAACTCTATCCTCTGAGGGATGGGGAGCCAGCAGAGCTGGGCGACGGTGGGGTTGATGGGGTCACGGAGCCTGGTGCGGGAGAGGGCACGAGCTGCAGAGTTCTGGATGATCTTCAGCTTGTGGAGGAAAGAGTTTGGGAGGCAGACAAGCAGGGAGTTGGCGTAATCGAGCCTAGATATGATGAATGCTTGGATGAAGGTTTTGGTGGCCTGAGGGGTGAGGGAATTGCGGAGCCGGGCGATGTTGCAGAGGTGGTGGAAGGCAGAGCGGGACATGGCTCGGATGTGGGGTAGAAAGGAGAGTTGAGGGTCAAACAACATTCTGTCAGGACAGCAATGGTCCTGGAGTTGAGGGTGGAGGCAGAGAGAGTTGGGTGTCATCTGCATACATGTAGAAGTTGACCCGCATGTCTGCGGATGATGTCACCAAGAGGGAGCATATAGACATTGAAGAGGATATTAATAAACATACAGCAACAACTTGCATTTATATAGCGCCCTTCACGCAGGGCAGCATCTCGGAACGCTTAACAGTGGCATAGCCTGACGCTGAGCCGGTGGGAGGGAGGAGATGACTGTAAGCACAGTCAAAGAGGAAGGTGTTCAGTCTTGATCTAAAAGAGGGCAAGGAAGGTGCAAGACAGAGATTGAGCGAGAACTTTAGGGCAAGGTGGTTTAAAACATAGCCCGCAGTGGTGGAGGGGACAAGGGGCGAGCAGGAGGCCACAGCCAGCCAAGCGGAGGCAGCGGGCCGTGGAGTGGGAGAAAGCAGGTTGGAAAGTTAGGAAGATGCCAGCACGTGAAGGGGATGAGAGGATCTTGAAATGGATCTGTGATAGGAAACCAGTAGAACATGGTGAGGACTAGTGTGATGAAATACAGAGCTTAGTGAATGAGTATATGAGCGGCGGGGGTTCTGAATCAGTTGTGGTTTGGGACATCCTCCCGACGTGAAAGGCATTCTACAAATGTAATGTGGGTAGTGGATCTAAGGAGACCGGCGAGGAGGGCATTGGAATAAACCAGGTGAGAGGTGACGAATGTGTGGATGAGGGTTTCGGTTTCTTTGGTGTGAGTTGCATCATGCATCAAGTTATGATGAAGGGAGAGTGACAAATATAAAACAAGAGGACATAAGGATTTGCTTATTATCTCTGCTGATGTTTACGATCATGAGGACTTTGATAGAATTCTTCTTTGTTGACTTGTAATGCAGGTAGGGTGGAGAGAGGAATGCAGCTCGTAAAGTGAGTGGTGTGGGTGCTGTTTAAAAGCCTATGTTTGGAAGCAAATGGAAAAAGCTCAGCTTCAGTCAGCGTTATGATTTGTTTCAAGGTCTCCAGGAACATAGTGTCAAAAAGTACACAATATAGTGTCAGTACCATTTGTCCCAACAGATAAAACTATAGAGTTGAAGCAATGGAATTGCTTGGCATTATTACAAATGTTGATGAGCTCACCAAATGGATAAACCAAATATATCTTATTCCATTCATCTGCATGGAATACATTACAAATTAGTTACAAAGAAGAAATTATATTGCTGGAGTTCCAAGTGTTTTCCAAGTGAGGTGCATCCGGTAGATTTTGGCAAACATGTTTGCATGGATGATCCAAGGGCAGAGGGTTTATACTCTAGTTCTGAGGCTAGGCTGAAAATTTAAGGCAAAATGGACAGACAGGCTTAAGACTAGGTGGAATTTCAGGTCTCTGAAGTATCATTCATTTGTGGAGCACTTGCATAATCTGTGGCCATGGATAGAATTAAGAGATCGGAAATCACAAAAAGTAGATTTAGATCTTATGACCTGAAAAGACCTAATGGTGCAGTCCCAAGTATATAATTTAGGAGCTACATTTCTTAGGACTATAGAGATTTGTAAAAGGCTACCTCTGCCTCTTGCTCCATGATGGTCACTGAACAGTGGCAGGCTCGATTAGAGGGGCAAGCACTAACAAATGACATTCATTTGTGAGCGTTTCCACCAGAATATATGCAGTTGGATTGCAGAGGTTGATGCTAATCTTAAAACTTTAGTTACTATTTTTAAGAACTGATTTAAAAACTGCCTACTGAGTACACAAGGATTAGTGTTTAGATTGTAGACATATAATGTATGTGCATTTCTAACTGGAAAACAAATGCATACAGCTAATACTTCATCATGATGAAGATTGTCAAAACTTCAGTAAATTAGTACCAGTATCTAAACAGAGACTTATGGTAGATTAGACAGGAGACAGTTCAGGGGAAATACATCCAGATTATTTAAAAGATTACAAACAAATCAACAGAGCCAAAGAAACCGTGCTTCAAATAAATTTTAGTGTGTATTAACCACTCTAGCAAAACTCTTTCTGAGTTCTGTGACTTTTTTTAGTCCTGAAGTCAATACAATACACAATGCACTGTCCAGTCTCTCCATTGTCTTTCTAACTGAAACTTCAATGTACAACAGCTCTTAAACATCATACTTACCTCAGCATAAAACTAACCAACCAATAACCAACATTATTATGTCCTCAATACTGTTTTTAAAGGGACCCAGTGATTGTACTAAAAACATGTATTAACATAATTATATTATTTAGTAAAATTGTTTTGTTATTTAATGGAGCTATCGTCTATTTCAATCAATGTACCTGTATAAAACAAGACATTAATTTTGTTGTATTAAAAGTGAAGAGTACATTTGTACTTTCACTGACTGTGTGAAGAATTAAGGTAGTTTTAAAGCTATTTTTTTAAACCATGCAAATACTGAGTAAAATTGTATTGATCGCAAGCAGAAATGATTAATATCTTTTTGCAATACCAATATCCCGAATATCACTTTTTCAATGAATGAAAAAACACTCTCCCAAAGGAAAGGAAAAAAACAACAAAAATAATAACCTGTTTACCTTTCAGATCCATTTTTAGCATAACATTTTCAAACGTTTGTCTGAAATATAGTTTCATTTCCAAAACTGCTGACCTGAACTAATGTCCTCTTAAATATTTCCACATCAAATAATTCTTTGTATTAGATTTATAAATAATAGAACAACAACAATACTTTTAGATGGTTGAGAAGGCAGAATAAGAACTTTAGGGTTTCAAAGGGTAACTAAAGCAAAGACAGCAGGAAATATTTATTTTCCCAGAAGGAATTTAGCAACTTCCTGGGTTACCAGGAAGAGTGGTAGAGATTAAGATGCTGGACTCATTTAAGAACCATTTTAATGGAAGGTTGTTATGGCTTGAAGGCCTTGTTTATTGGAACCTCTTCTGTTATGAAGTAAATTTAAAAGCAAGAGAATAAAAATAATGACATTTGAAATAATGTTTGCCAAAATCTAAGCAAAAAATGTCAGATCATTGCAGCAATTCACTATATTATTTCACTTAAACTCCTTTCCTTTTCCTTTAAGGCACTGAACCTTAGCTATTGACAAGTCATAGATCCTTTTACAGTTTTTCTTATTTACATGGTATTGTGTAATCACAGTCACCATTACCTTAAGCAGGTGATTAACATCCTATAATGTGTTCTCTTATCCTTTGCCCTTTATGTATTTTGTCTCTCTCCTTTTAGCTTATTTCATTTTCTCACGAGTCCATGCTGATCGGAATGTTTATCCATCGGCCGGGGTGCTTTTTGTCCACGTTTTGGAGCGTGAATCCTTCAAAGGAGAATTTCCTCCTTACTCAAAACAACTTGGTAAGAGAAGACATGCTGCAGTGGACAAGTACCTCTGTGGTTACAGTAGACATGTTTAGGCACTGCAATTTTCTGAAGATCAAATGCCTAGCAAAATATTGAATGGGATCTCTTAGCGGATTTTTTCCTCACTAATCCAGGAACACTGGATCTCCTTAATTGTACATCCCAATGCTGTCCTGGCTGACATTAGCCAACTCAGCAGAAATAACAATTTGAATATGGAACCCAGTGCTGGACTGCCTTATCTACTTGACCATCAGTGGATGGGTTCAAATAATTTTGACACTCAGTTTATCTTGTCGACTATTTTTGCTGATCAGCAGATTGCATGAGATAAAAACTAAAGCACAATTATTTGAGTTGATAACTTGAAAGAAGCATATGGTTAAGAAATACCGTGGATTAAATTTCCATGATGGCTTAAATAAAAGTGTTCAACTGTTCACCAAAAAATCATTGCAAATGGTGAAAAAAATAAACAAAACAGCAGGAAAATAGTGAAAGAATGTTTAATTTTTCAAAGAGTTTCTCGTGACTTGCACCTGGGGACGTCCTCCTGACGTGAAAGGTGCCAAACAAATGTAATTTGTTGTTGTCGTGACGATATGTTTTAAAATAAATGAAAGTTCTTCAAAATTAGTTTCTCCGCATCAATTATATTAAACTATATTTAGCAAACCTGTTGAAATTGAGTAGTATAATCCCATGAAATTTGTAAACAGTATTTGCAATGCTCTATATCAAAAACATTCTATTCTAGTAAATAAAATAAGTGGTGTGTTTGCCTTTAAATATTTGTTCTGTATTTTGATAACAAACAGCTGATTCCATGAACGACCCCATCACATTCAAGACAAATTTGAAGGGCTTCCCAGACAGACCTGGCTGGCTACGATACATCCAGAGAACTCCATACAGTGACGGAGTTCTTTACGGATCACCGACTCCTGAGGATGTTGGCAAAGAAACAAAAATTGAGGTAACTTGAAATTTTCAGAAGGAAAACTGCATTCTGGACATCTCAGATAAAGAAATTTCTGTTTGTTAATAGCTTATTGACTTCATGCTGCAGTGCAGGTTATCATTTGTTATCTCTTTCTTAATGTATTGAATGCATTAGAATATACAACACAGAACCAGGCCATTCAGCTCAACTGGTCTATGCCAGTGTTTATGCTCCACATGAGCTTCCTCCTGTCCTTCCTCAACCAATCCTTTAAGGATACTCTTCTATTCCTTTCTCCCTCATGTGCCTATCTAGCTTCCTCTTAAATACATCTATGCTATTTTCCTCAACAACTCTTTGTTGAGTTGTTTATTGAGTTATTAAGTTATTGTGAATCCATTCACGGCCTTGCACCCTCCTACCTCTCCGACCTACTATCCCCCTACTTACGTGCCCGACCCTCCGTTCCTCTGCTCCACATCCCCCGCCCCAACCGCCCTACCATCGGTGGCCGGGCCTTCAGCCTCTCAGCCCCGAGGCTCTGGAACTCCATCCCCCAGTGCCTTCACCGCCTCCTCCCTTTCCTCCTTCAAGGCCGGTCTCAAGACCTTTCTCTTCAACCGTGCCTTCAGCTCCCCTCTCGACTCTCTACCCCCTCCTCGCTCCCTCCCTTCCCTCCCCTCACCCTGACCATTTCCCCCCTGCTCGGGTCCCAACCCAACTGTCCAGCGCCTTGGGACGTCCTTCCGACGTGAAAGGCGCTCTATAAATGCAATCTTGTTGTTGTTGTGGTAGCATATTCCACATTCCCTCTACTCTCTGTGTAAAGAAATGTCTTCTAACTTCCCTATTTGATCTCTTTGAGACTATTTTATATTGATGTCCCCTGGTTTTGACCTCCCCCACAAATGGAAACATCTTCCCTATGTCTACCCTATCAAAACCTTTCATAATTTAAAGACCTCTGTCAGGTCACCCCTTTCCCTCTTCAAGATAAAAGAGTCCAAGTACGTTCAGCCTTTCCTGATAGGTATAATCTCTCAGTTCTGGGATCATCTTTGTGAATCTCCTTTGCATCCTCTCCAGTGTCTCTACATCCCTTCTAAAATGTGGGGACCAGAACTGCACACAGTATTATTATTCTAAGTGTGGTCTAACCATGGTTCTACAGAATTTTACCATAACTTCCCTGCTTTTCATTCCCTCCAGAAATGAACCCCAATTCCTGGTTATGGGGATAGGGCAGGTAATTAGAGTTAGGTCAGAAGATCAGCCATGATCTTATCGAATGGCAGGGCAGGCTCGAGGGGCCGAATGTCCTGCTCCTAATTCTTATGTTCTTATGTTGCCTTTTTCATGGCCTTATTAACCTGCGTTGCTACTTTTAGCGAATTATGTATGTGTACCTCTACTAGATCCCTTTGCTCCTCTACCCCATTTAGGTTTTTATTTTCCAGGATGTATGTGATGTATTGTGTTTTACCCTGGTTCTACCTGCGCTTCTTTATCCTCTGCAGAGGCTGTTCCAGCCCAACTAGTTCAGTTCTGATGAAGGAATATGCCCAAAACTTTAACCAGCTTTTTCTTTCAATTGCAGATTGACCTGCTGTAGATTGCCAGCAGTTTGAGTTTTAAGAGGCAGGGAAGACTGAGGGAGGGAAAGAAGCCTGGAAACCGTTTTCATGCTCATCACTTAAGAAAATGTTAAATGTTGCAAAAGGAAAAAAGGGTTTACATATATCTGCTTGGGCCATAGTTACAGCTTGGATGAGTCAGATTTTGTTATGGTTCCAAACAGCCACAACTAAAGGGAAACACTTTTTAACTAGTTATTCTTTGTGTGGAAAATACTGCCCAAGCTTTATTATTGTTTAAAAAATTAACAATCGCCAGGAGCTCTTTAAATCCAAGAGGAAATATCATAGTACATTTCTTTACAAAGTATCTTTTTTCCAAACTTCTATCCCTGTTACATAACTGGTTCCTTTCTGCATACTCAGTTACAGCACAAGCCGTGCTGCCCTTTTCATATGAATATGTTTTCTTCTCCCTGTCATGAGTCACAGTTTCCAATAGTGCTGTGCAGTGACACCTATTAAAATGATCAGTGTACTGACCGTGCAAACGCTGCACAATATTTGATGTACCCTAGTTTGAAATGATAATTCTTATTTTCTGTATCCCCAGAAGTGCAGTTATGTGTTTTGCGTTCACAATACAGAATGTGAGTTGTGAGTTTCTATTTTATTTTCCATCATTCTGGGCTCTAATCAAATAGTGATCTTTTCACTAAATGTTTAAAATAGGATTTGCTCTCACAAAGATTTAGTGGAAAGATTTACTACTTTTTAAAAAATTATGGACGCACAATTGACCTCACTAAGCCAGTCTGGAACATTGGCATCTTGTTTGACCCTCAACTATCCTTTCTACCCCACAGCCATGCCATGACCTGCTCTGCCTTCCCCACTTCCGCAACATCGCCCGGCTCCACCACTGTCTCACACCGCAGGCCACCGAAACCCTCATACACGCCTTCATTACATCAAGGCTTGATTATGCAAACTCATTGCTTGTCAGTCTCCCCAACTCCTCCCTCCACAGGCTGCAGATCATCCAGAACTCTGCAGCCCGTGTCCTCTCCCGCACCAGGCTCTGTGACCCTATCACCCGCCTCCTTGCCCACCGCACCATTCTGCCACTCTGCCCCCACCCTCTGGAACTCCATCCCTCAGTCCCTCCGCCTCGCCCCCTCCCTTGCCTCCTTCAAGACCCATCTCAAGACTTCCTCTTCGACCGTGCTTTCGATCTCCCTCCTTCCCCCCCTGCTCTCCACCCTCCCCGACCCCCAGCTCGGGTCCGAAACACTGACTGTCCAGCACCTTCAGACATCATCCCGACGTGAAAGGCGCTATACAAATGTAATTTTTGTTGTAGTTGTTTTAGCTAACAATGTAAGTTAGTCTCTGCTGTTTAGTTTACTGAACAGAAGGCTTCAACTTCCATTGTTTGTGAATACCTTTATATAACAACAACAATAACAAATCACATTTGTATAGCTCCTTTCACATCAAGAGGACGTCCCATATAGCAGCAGGCGCTATTTATAGGGTTTACCAGTTTCCAATTTTAATTTTTTTTTAGATTTTTGGAAGATAATAGTAACCTTTGTTTTGTTTTTTCGATTTTTAACAATCTTTAATCAGCTTTTAATTGTTATGTTCATCTCTGTTTTATGTTACTGATTTGCTTTTGATATATACTCTTTTTGACAGGTCACTGCCTGTAATAGACGTACATATGAAACTGCAAGGCACACTTTAAGCATCCACATCACGGCTGCAAATGGTAAGGAACTTGACATCGAATGGTTCTTTAACTTAATGAGGTGTTTTATAGTGTAGTTATTAATTTTGAGACAGGGTACCACTATTCTATAGTTAAAATATTACATCAAAACATATTTAGGTATCAGCTTGACTCAGTTGGATAGCATTCTTGCCTCTGGGTCAGAACATTGTGGATTCAAGCCCCAAGTCAAGACTTTGAAGTCTCAAATTTGGCTATTCTCCAGTGCAGCAATTTGGACCATTACATTGACTTTTGGATGAAGGAACAAGCCAATTTCCCTGTACTGTACTCTTTCCACTCTGGTCTATTGCTTCACCACACTCTCTGTTTCACTATTGATCCCCATGTCTTCAGCAATTATGGAGTCCTGTAGCTCAGTGGTTAGAGTACTCGCCTCGCAAATGAGAGATCTGGGTTCGATTCCCGGCAGGGCAAAACGTTGGGCAAGTTTCCTTACTCCATGCCTCTGTTTACCTAGTAGTAAGTAGAAACCCAGTTGTTCGTCAATTGGCTGATCGCTTTTCCAGGGATAATAATTCTTTTTTTCCATCAAAAAAATAATAATAGTTTGGTCACTCAATCCATGACTATTTGTGGGACACTGCTGTGCGCAATTGGCTGCCGCGTTTCGCCCACAAAATGTACAGCCAATTCACTTTGCAGTATATTCTGTGAAGCGCTTTGAGACGTCTCAAAGATGTGATAACGCTCTATATCAAATGCAAGGATTATTATTATTATGCGTCTCACTCTCTGGAATTATACCAGGGCTTAAAGGGTTGAATTATGAGGACAGGTTGCGTAAACTTGGTCTCTATTCCCTCGAATTTAGAAGTTTGAGGGGGAATCTGATTGAGGTTTTTAAAATAATGAAGGGATTGGATAGAATAGATACAGGTAAACTATTTCCTCTGGTGGGGAATCCAGAACAAGGGGCAGAATCTTAAAATTAAAGCTAGGCCATTTAGGAGGGAAATCAGGAGGCAGTTTTTCACCCAAAGGATAGTAGAAATCTGGAACTCTCTCCCCCAAAAGACTCTGGATGCTGGATCCATTCACACTTTCAAGATGAAAGTAGATAAATATTTGGTAGGTCAGAATATTAAGGGTTATAGGGCAAGGGTGGGTAACTGGACTTGAGGTGTAGATCAGCCATGATCTTATAGAATGGCGGAACAGGCTTGAGGGGCTAGTCCTGTTTCTATGTATCTATATATATATGAATATGTATCCAAATCTCTTCACCATATATCCTCTTTCCCTCTTCAAACAGTAGTTTTTGACTTTTAATTAAAACTACCCATTCTTGCCCTCTGCTCAAGGGTGTCCATTGTCTATGGGAGATCTTCGAGACGTTGAATTTTTGTGAAATGTGCTGTAGAAGTGCAAGTTATAGTTCTAACATACAGATTAGTGTTGGCTCATGGTGCCTCATTGTGTCTTTTGCTTTTCCAGCTCCCCACTGGGGCTAATCCTGTTTTCCTGCTTCTTCCCATTACCCCCTAATATCTTTAATCTTCATGTGTTTATTGAATTTCCTTTTAAATCTTGTATTGAAATGATTTCAACAGCCACATTTAGTAGTGTTCCACATCCTAATAACACTTTGTGTAAAATAATCTTCACTATAGCCTATGCTTTTATATTCTAGTATGATTTGAGTTTACGCCGCCACTCAGATGCCACTTTTCTGTTTGAATGGATGAGGAGCCAAATATCTTCCAAGATCAAACATATTTACATTCTTATAATAGAACACCACTGTCCAGAAACATGCTTGTGAAATTCTCTGCTCCTTCTCCAAATACTCTAGCTGGATGCCTGGTCTTGAGTGCAGAACTCGACTGCAGATGTGAGATTAGGAAATCTCCTTCATACCTAGATTTAGCCACATCAATCCCTCAATATAAGAATAATAATAATCTTTGCATTTGATACAGTGCACTTTACATCAGGAGGATGTCGAAAACTCTTCACAGGATTTACGATAAAATGCAGTGACTTTGCTTTTTGTAGGCAACAAATCGATTAATAACCAAGCTTCCCCCGCAAAATATACAGTCAATTCACTTTACAGTTTATTCTGTGAAGTGCTTTGAAACGTCTCGAAGATGTGATAAGACGCAATATCAAATGCAAGGATTATTATTTATAAATTAATGAGCATTCACAGCACAACTCTACACCACTTAAGTATCAATATTTAGTGACTCACTTCATGGCTGTTTGTGGGACATCACAATGTGCATATTGACTGCTGTGTTCACTTACAAAATACAAAGTCATTCCACTTGTAATGTTGGGGGAGCATCAGAGGTGTACTCCTTCAGATAGGACATTAAACTGAGGTCCTGTCTTGTCTTTCCTGGTGGATATTAAAGAACTCATGGCACTATTCTAAAAGGGAAGGGAGTTTCTCCCAGTGTCCCGGCCAACAATCCCCCAAATAAAATTGGTCATTCACTTTTTTGCTATTTGTGGAACATTGCTGTGAACCAATTGGGTGCCACTTTGGCACTTTACCCAATACACAGTCAATCTACCTTGCGATAGATCTTGTGAAACACTTTGAAGCACTTTAGTTACATGATAAGGCACTAAGTCAAATGTGAGGATTCTTCTTCCTTTGGAGGGGAAAATGCTCTGATGCAGGCTTGCATGGACTAATTTGGGCTGTTGGACCTTATAATCCTAAATTCAGGGGCAATCTGAGCTACGACTGAACCACCCTTTAATCTTTCTCCCATATTAGTGCTCAAACAGCTTGAAGCTCCTACCCACCCAACCACCAGCTGTGATTGATCTTCGCTGACTCTTGTATGTTGCAACGTAATTTGTTATAATTTAATATATAGTTTTTATACCGAAAACTCAAAGTGTTTCACACAATTAGTTACTTTAAAATGTAGTGACTGTTGTTATGACTGCAAATGTGATGGTTAACCTATGGCAGCATTTTGTTGCCAGCAAGATGTTGTTAGTAACAATGTTTATCTGTTTTTTGGGGGGCTAATATGGTGATGGAGGGTTATTCAGTTTTTTCTATGGTTATTAGGATGCTGGAAGAATATTGTTCAGAACTCCCTGCTTGAAATAATTCCTTTCGATCTTTAATAATCTTCAATCTTTCACAAGCTGCAGGTCATTCAGAACTCTGCAGCTCGTGTACTGTCCCGCACCAGGCTTCGTGACCACATCACTCCCACCCTCGCTCGCCTCCACTGGCTCCCCATCCCCCAGAGGATCGAATTCAAGATCCTCATCCTCACCTACAAGGCCATTCACGGCCTCGCTCCCTCCTACCTCTCTGACTTACTATCCCCCTACTTACCTGCCCGTACCCTCCGTTCCTCTGGCTCCGGTCTGCTCCACATCCCCCGCCCCAACCGCCCTACCATCGGTGGCCGGGCCTTCAGCCTCTCAGCCCCGAGGCTCTGGAACTCTATCCCCCAGTGCCTTCGTCGCTTCCTCCCTTTCCTCCTTCAAGGCCGGTCTCAAGATCTTTCTCTTTGACCGTGCCTTCAGCTCCCCTCTCGACTCTCTGCCCCCTCCTCGCTCCCTCCCTTCCCTCCCCTCACCCTGACCATTTCCCCCCTGCTCGAATCCTGACCCAACTGTACAGCGCCTTGGGACGTCCTCCCGACATGAAAGGTGCTCTATAAATGGAATCTTGTTGTTGTTGTAATATACACCAGAGTAGACCTTGGTTTAATGGCTTGACAATAGTAATAATAATCCTTGCATTTGATATAGCACCTTATCACATCTTCAAGACATCCCAAAGTGCTTCACAGAATATGCTGTAAGGGTGAATTGACTGTCAGTTTTATGGGTGAAACGCGGCAGCCAATTGTGCACAAACAGTGGTTGATTGAGTGACCAAATTATCTTTTTTTTGAAGGGATTATTACCCCCAGAAAAGCGATCCGCCAATCGACTAACAACCGAGTTTCTACTTACTGCTACGTAAACAGAGGAGTGTGGATTAAGGAAACTTGCCTAATGTTTCGCCCTGCCAGGAATCAAACCCAGGTCCTCTCGTTGAGAGGCAAGTGCTCTAACCACTGAGGTACAGGACTCCACAAATGCAATGATTCCCTCAGTCATGCCCGCCTAGATTAGAAGATCAGATGCACGTGTGGAGTTGGAGCTCACAACTTTCTGATCTAGAAGCGAGAGTCATATCAACTGAGCCAAACCATCAATGAATCAAAACTAATATTTGGTTTGGTATTTATCAACCATTGCTTTTTCAGTATAAATAGTATCTCTAAAAAATGTTGTTCACATGTCAAAGGAAAGGTCCAAGGGTTTTACTATCCTCCCAGAAAATGCAAGTTAAAAAGATAACTGTTTCAACACAGATGCTGCATTCTGCAGATTGATTCTTCATCATAAAGATTTTGCAGTGATCAGTTTCATTTTCCTGTGTTCATTTCACAATTTAGCTGATCAGTTAATTCTTAAGATTTGCTGTAATATACAGCCTGGGTTTGAATTTGTTCTGTTAACTCACACTTAACTTCTTCCTGTTTAAAGATTATCCTATGCAATATCAAGCAGAGTTCTTTGTGAAGAACATGAATGTGGAAGAGATGCTGGCAAGCGAAGTGATTGGTGAATTTCTGGGAGCAGTAAAGAGTGTTTGGCAACCAAACCGCCTCGCTGCTATTGACATTGTCTCAGCTCTGGATAGGGGCGGGCGAGTCCCACTCCCCATCAATAATTTGAAAGAAGGGTGAGTTTAATGTGCCAGAAAAATGAGCAGAATAATTTTCAGATCACTGTTTAATCTACCAAGATTAAGATTTGATGATAAGACATGCCAAATATTTTAGTTCCAAATATCTTCAAAAGTCTTCAGAACATTGTCTTAAAATTTAAAGTCATGCAAAACTTGGAGTTTTTTTTAAAAAAAACATTGCTGAAAAGCAGCTTAAAAACTAAGCCTCAATTTCAGAATTTTCCACAATTCTGCATAATTATTAACAGTCTAAAGGCTAAAACCAAGAGAATTTCTCACATTTGTTCTCTTCTCCACCTAAGACAAATAGGCAGACTCGCCTGTAAACAACTTATTTTGCCTAAACATTCACCAGATCACGTGATATTCACAGAATTGCAAGAAGCTATCACTATTTCCCTGCAGTGGTAATTTCACTTCCCTTGAAAAAGTATTTTCCCTACAAAAATACAATCACTGCACTTACAGTAATTACATGTAAAGCACTTTGAGTTCTAGTATTATAGCCATTCTGTCAACTGAAAGGAATATTACTATTTTCTTAAAATCTTCCCCCCATGTTATTGGAGAGGCAATAACAAATCCTTTGTATTCACATCATCAACGTTTTAGCAGTGAAGCAGAAAATAGCTTGGGTAGACTCTGAAGCTGGGCAAGTAAGGGGGTTAGACCTTGTGAGACAGGGAAGAGAGGGTTCTCTGGGAGTAGAGGCAGAAGGTTGGGGAAAGACATGTATCTGGAATACAGTCAGTCGGAGAGAGAGGGAGATCTGTGAGATTAAGGAGAGAAGGTTAGTTGAGGATAAGGTCAATGAGAAATGAGATGACTACTAATGCTGCCATGTGGACAAAGGTTGAAAATGTCACACGCTGTTTATTCCTACCTCCCTAGGGTTTACGTGATGGTGGGTACGGATGTGCCATTCTCATCCTGCCTCAGGGAGACAGAAACCCCTCAGCACCTGATGAAGTGCAGCCAGCAGATGGAACCTGTCATCAGCTGCGACAAGAAATTTCGCTTCCATTTTGACATTGACTGGTGCAAACTGTCCTTGGTAAGCTCTCCCCCACCGGGATCGTGCTCAGTTCCCAGCACCCCATCTCTGCAGTGCAATCTCCATGTTCCCATGCTCTCCCATTACATGCTTTATGTAACCACCAGGTTTTAATAACATGGCTCAGCACTATTACCAAATTGCACACAGATAAGCAATTCTTCAGTTCTCGGCCTTTTGAGTGTTTTGAAACATTTTGAAGCTGTCACGCTTGTTGTGCAAAATCTGGTTTCCTTTTGCTTATTCGTTTGGACAGTCATTTTTTGGAAATGACTTGTGGACAAGTGATGAGGAGTTGAGGAGATATGTATCAAGGTGTCCTGCCTTTGTAAACAGATATTTGCTCAATTTTATCTTGAAGATGGTAAAGATGACCCTTTAATGCACTGAATTATTCCAGGTGAAAAATATCAAAACAGTTCATTTTTCCTTGTCCAAGCTTGTCTTCATAACCTTATCACAGACTTCTGGTAGTTTGCCCAAAGGATATAGCAGCTAGGGTGTTAATTGACTCATCGCTCACATTGTCAAAACAGTGTGAGGCAGCAATAAACAAGGCAAACAGTATGCTGGGCTATATTGCTAATCATTTGAGTTTGGATTCTCAGAAGTCATGTTCAAGCTGTATAGTTGGACTGCAGATGGACTGCTTACAGGTCTGGTAGGTAAGGGGTGATCCAGGCCCTAGAGCAGCACCAAATTACATTTGTGTAGCATCTTTCATGTCAGGTGGACGTCTCGAGGTGTTGGACAGTCAGGGATTTGGACCCGAGCAGGGGATGGGAGGGGTAAGAGGGTGGCCAAATGCAACAAGCGTGTTCCCCAGTGTTAGATGATTAGGTAAATTAGGCCTCTTGAGCTTTGAAAAGAGATGTCGATTTCAAATAGATTGGGAAAGCAAACCTAGAATAATACTTTCATAATACGCCAAGACAGCAGAACAAGAGGATATATGTTCAGGATCGTAAAGAGCAATTTCAGAAGGGACAAATTATGTATTCCTTTACCCAGAGGGTGATTGATGACTGGAACACGTTGCCAGGAAAGGTGGTTGAGACCAGGACACATTTAAAAAAAAATAACTTGATACTTTGATGGTAAGATGATGGGGTGGGCATTCTGAGAGGAGGAGATCAAATGGGCCAAAGGGCCTCTTCATCTGAAATTTGTGATCTTATGTTGCACACTTACATCAACACAGAAATTATACATCTCACCATCTAAACCCAGTTCTCAGAAGTGAAAAGCCAGTAGGAGCTTGGAACCCATGGTACTCAAAGCCACATAGTCCAAGCACAACTTTCCTTTCAGGATTTCCTGTGTTCTGAACATATTTTCTGTGTTCAGAGGTGAGTTGCTGGCATCTCTGAACACAGTGGAGACTTTGACTTCACAGTTCTCTGACAACAGTGGTATTTGAATTGTGAATAGTCCATTTCAGTTACCACAACTTCCCTATAAAAGAAGAAATGAGAATCTACATCAGCAACCATAGCTTCCCTCCAGGAACTGGGATCTGACTACTGCAGGAGTCTACTACTACACTACCTTGTGACCATTTGGACATGTCTTTTCCTGTTTTTCTCTTGTTTCCTTCATATTGACTTACTGGCTGCTGTCTACTTTAGTATGGACTTTGCTGCTACAAGTTTACAGAAAGCCCACAATATGTCCACAATGCCCCTAAGAGAATCACCTCAAATATTTCTATCTTCAGAAAGGAAACATTTTGTGTAGATGTGGGGAGAAAATCCACCTAGGTCTAGATTTGCTCTATTTATGTAATCTTTAAGCACATCCAGAATTTGGCAAATTGTTGAATTCATTCTTAACTTTCTGTCTTAACAGTCCTCCAGCCTCAATTTTTCCAAAGCACTCCTCGCTGGTCTCCCCAGCTCCACATTAACAAGGTTTAAATGATTCAAAGCTCTGCCATCCATGCCCTCACCTGCACCAGGCTCTGCACCCCCATCACCAGAGGTCTTGCCAGGCTCCACCAGCTTCCTGTTGAAGAACGGATGGTTTTGAAGTTCCTCACTTCCACTTTTAAATCTCTTCACCCCCTGCCTCTTCGATCTGCTCCCTCCCCACTCCTCTACCCACTGCCTTCACTCTGCTGGCTCAGCTCTTCTGTGTGTCCCGTGTTCCCTCCGCTTCACAATTGACAGCCGTGCTTTCACTATGCCCTGAATCTCTGGAACTCCCTGCCTCAATCCCTCGGTCTTCCTCCTCGTTAATTATCTTCACACCTGAAGACTTCCCTGTTTAACTGTGCCTTCGTTTTCCTCCCCTCCCTTTTGAGCCCGCGGTCAAACCTAACCAATCTTAACCTCTCCGAGACCCTATCCGAATAAAAGGCAGATAACTATCAAGGCAAGTTGTTGTTGTTGTTAACTTTGAAGCCAGTTTTCTATAGTACTTAAAATACCTTACAGAAAATTTAAAAAATAGCCAAATTCTGGTGCATCTAAAATGTTTAATAATAGAGTAAGTATAGATCCAGGTGGAATTTCTCCCCAGCAAATGCTGAAGTTGAACATCATGTGCATCTCACAGCGAGAGAGAGAGAGAGAGAGAGAGAGAACACAAATCTCAGTGTATCTGGCGATTCTGCCTTGTCTCAATTGGTGCAAGGTGCATTTGTTCAGGTCAATACCTAAATCCAATTTACATAGGATATAAGTATCCTCTTTTCACAGAGAATAGCAGCTTTCAGGAACCAGGATGAGTGGTAAGCAATTTATGTTTCCATCACAGAAGCCAAAATGGTTCAGTAGTTCAGCTAAATGAGGCCTAAATGATCTCATGGTATTAGATTTAACAATGTCTTAAAATTTAAGATCATGCAAAATTTTTGGAAATTCTTAAATTCAGTCTTCATTTGGAAACTGAATTTTTCTTTAAAAGATTGAATTTAAAATTTACACTGATCCTAAATTTCAAGACAGGGACTTTTCATACCACAGTTGTTTTAATGTTACGGGAGTAATTATCAATTATTTGTTGTATAACTAACACCTTTTATTTCAACACATTAACAGAAGAATGGGGGTGGGGGCAGGTGGTGATGGTGGTGGGGAACAAATAAACTAGCGGCAATTATTTTTGACTTGGTCTTGGTGTCAGGTCGATGTATGGAAGAAGCCGGCTTCCAACAATAATTTGGTTTTTGGAGACGGTGTCCTACCTGACGATGGAGAATATGATCCACCTTCCACCAACCTGAAGAGCAAGGACTATTACACAGACTTTGTGATCACGCTGGCAGTGCCCATAGCAGTCTCCCTGGTGCTGTTTGTCGTGCTGGGGTACATCATGTTCTGCCGTCGGGAAGGAGTGTAAGTACTTGTAGTGCTATCAACAAACATTTACACAGGCATCCAGACAGCTACACACTTTTTTTAAAATCGAAATATTTGACAGCAAAAATGCCTGGATACTTTCCTTTTTACAATGATTTGGACACCTCTGGGGCTTATGTTGTGCTCGCTACCAAGTGTAGAGACTGACAATGTGGTTATAAAAGTATTGGGAAAATCACATTCTTAACACACCTTGTCACACCAAGCACTTCACTTCACACCAAGCAGAATATCTCTACCCTAGAATAGTATTAGGAATAGATCCTGCTTCATCCTATTTCAACTCCTACTGATGGTAATAATATCACAGGTGCAGTAGATCAAATGAAGAGACACAGCAGGTAGAGAATGCATACATCCTCTGTCCATGTCATGCATGAATTCATATTTCAGCTCCATCCATGTGAATTTATTTTTCTCCCCTTTTTCTGTGGTCTGCTGTTTCATCTTGAGTCTCCATTACACTGGTGTCGTGTGTTTAAGTGTGTAACCACTTTGGCCCCGTGTACCTCCGAGACAGATACTGAGAGCCAGCCCCTCGGCTCAGCTTCTCAGCATCTGGTGGAGGAAGGGCTACCCCGAACAGATAGCTTTTTTGATGTTTCGAGTACCAATGGCTATTATTTAATTCATTCATTTTGTTTTGTTCCTAGGCAAAAGAGAGCCATGCAAACACCAGAGTAAGTGTCTTCTTTCCTGTTTGTTTTTTAATTGAACATTTTATGTTTTAGTTTTTGTCATCAGACCACCACCTTGCCACTTATTAGGCTTCATGTCTGCTTCGAACCTTTCCTCGCTTGTCTTTCCATTTGGATTAGCCCATTTCTCATGGTTCATTTCACACCGTTGACTCACAGTTGAGGAACCCATTCAGTCAGATCTTTACATAGTGCAGGGAGGGCCTTGAGTCTTAAGTCACTCCTAACACCCTAATTCTATGTGAAGTCTTTTCTTCGTGGTAGGAAAAGCATGGAAAATCGTAGTGATAGAGACGGCATTGCTTTTGTTAGCTCCTGGATTTGAAAATAATGACAGCATCTGAACTCCCACTGGTTTTCTGTGAATCTGTGCATCCCTCTTGGGGATGAATAAGCACCAGCCAGTTATTAATTTCTGTGAGTTTTATTACCTATCCCATTAAAATCTCATCCTGGCAATAACAGTGTTAGAGTAGATGTCCTCCTCTTATTGCATTCTTAACCCTCCCTCCCTCCCATGTTACTGATCCCTTCAACTTCACGGTAGGGGCGGTGGGGGGGGGTCACCTGGTTTGTGAACTCCCCATGGCTGCTCTGATGCTTAGACAAGAGCTTTGATTGATTGGTGAGTGAATGTGATCGGATGGATTTTCTCTCCTTTGTTTTGAGGTAGAATGTGTTCAGCAGGATATGAGACGAATCTGAATTGGATTTGAGACTGGAATTTTTACTTTGGCTCCTTTTGGACAGGAATCCAATATTGTACCATTGGAGCTGCTCTGCCCCAGCTCATGCTCAGACACAGCACTGCCACAGCACACATTACATTACAGAAACCTAAATCCTTCTACGTCACATCTCAATATTCAGACACCCTACAATACAAAGCGTTACCACACAATAGCAGTCATTGACAGCAAACGTAAACGCAAGCAATACCGAATGAAAGGATTTCACACGGAGCCAATACCTGTAGCCAACAGCAACAACTTGCATGAATATAGCACCCCTCACGCCCTGCAGCAATGTCATTTCAATATGACTTAAAACTCACTTGTCGTTTTATTTTGATAATTTTAATTCCTGAAGCATGTTAGGCTTGAAGGGCTAAGGAAATAAGGCAGGGCAGTGGGATTGAATGAACAGCTTGCTCTGAGAGCCGGTACAGACTTGATGGGCCAAATAGCCTCCTTCTGTGCTGTAAATTTCTCTGATTCTATGATACCTCTCTCAAAGGCGTTTTATTCCTTTTACTTGCCACTGGACGCAGTTTCACAGGTGCCTGGCACTTCTGTTGACAGGCTTTCCACTACGATGAATGAGGGGAGAGAAGGAGCACCAACAGCAGGAGGAACATGAGAGTGATCAGAGACTCAACATTCTACCAAGTCGTAGCATGGAAGATGATTTTGTCTTCAAATTTATTTGGTGCAGAATTGAGAACTCCAGATTGTTTAGATTCTTAAATTCAGTCTTAATTTTGAAACATTTTCTGTGGTTCCAGCTTCCAAATTAAGACTGACTCACACTTGTGTTCAAATCCCTTCACTCTGGCACCTCCCTATCTCTCTGACCTCTTCACTCTCCAATTCACCACCTAGTGCCTCTGCTCGACTTGCACCAGTCTCCAGCTTGTCCCTCTCTCGCTCCACCCCACCATCGGAGGTCACGCCTTCAGCCATTACGCCCCAAAACACTTGAACACTCTCCCTCAATCCCTCTGCCTTGCCCCCTCGCTCCCCTTTTTTCAAAACTGCCTGAAAACCTTGCTCTTTGACCATGCTGACAGCCACCTCCCACTCGCCTCAGCTTGGAGTCATGCTCCGCCACTCTTACGTGCTCTGCCAGGAGGGCATTATATGAGTGCAAGTTGTTGTTGTTGATTTAAGAATCTTCTATAATTCTGCGCTCTTAAATCTTAATTTCTAAGGCAAAATGGGCTACCAGCTAGGACTAGAATTATAAGCCTGAATGGGAAGCAGGAATCCTGTCTGGAATCTCTGTTGTGCCCTCTTGTCCTGCTGCTTTTAAAAATAATAATAATCCTTGCATTTGATATAACGCCTTATCACTTTGTTGCAACGTCTCAAAGCACCCATAAGATAATACTAATCCTTGCATTTGATAGAGCGCTTTATCACGTTGTTGAGACATCTCAAAGGGCTTCACAGGATATACTGTAAAATGTAGTGACTGTGTTTTCTGGATGAAATGTGGCAGCCAATTGCCACAGCAGTGTCCCACAAACAGTCATGGATTGAGTGATAATTTATTTTTTTGGAGGGATTATTACCCCCGGAAAAGCAATCCACCAATCGACTAACAAACAGGTTCCTCCTTGCTGCTAGGTAAACAGAGGTGTGTGGTGTAAGGAAACTTGCCTAAGGTTTCGTCCTTAAACATTTATTTTAATGGAAAACATTTAAATACGTATTTAAAAGATGCATTCAGGAAATCTTTTGGCTCCCCTGTTCAGCCATCGAGATAGGTAGATACAACCATTTTTTTAGTGGAGAAAGAATAAACAAAAATATTGGATTACATAATGCTCATCCTTGTTCTCAGTAATGCAAAAAAGATCATCCGATTTGAGCATAGCCACAGCAATACATAAGAGCAATTCACAAGGAATTTATGTAATTTTGAACACGGAATATTTTTTAATATATTCTATATATAGATGATATTTCTGGTCCTACACAAGGCTACAAGGAGCACTGTCGCTTCACAGTATAAACTGTGCGCAAATATGCTTTGTGCTAGCAGATGCTATTTTGAACAGTTTTTTGTAAAAACACATTTTGATGTGCAAGATTTTTATTAAATAATAGTAATAATAATAATCATTGCATTTGATATAGCGCTTTTCACGACTTTGAGACGTCAACGCTCTTCACAGATTATACTGTAAAATTAATTGACTGTATATCTGTGGGCGAAACATGGCAGACAATTGCGGACAGCAGTGTCGCACAAACAGTCGTGGATTGAGTGACCAAATTATTAATTTTTAAAAATTTATTTTGAGGGATTATTATCAGGCGTGTGGAGTCAGGAAACTTGCCCAAGGTTTCGCTCTGCCAGGAATCGAACCCTCGCTTGCGAGGAGAGTGTACTAACCACTGAGCTACAGAGCTCCATAAAGGCAAAGAACAGCAAGATTGTTTGTTAAAATTCTAGTTTTACTGTAAAAGGTTAATATGTTGGTATTGCCATAACGTTTTAAACAAGCTTTCAATTCCTCACCTCTAAAAGCCAGTGGACTAATGCTGCTTTGCTGGCCATCTGTCAATGAACATTAACTTGTCATCTTAACAACTTAAACTTGCTGAGATAGAATAGAGGGCTTCTGCTCTAGCACCAAGCTCCTTTCAAAAACGGGCTTGCTGGGAGAAATTCATGTTCTTCCTAGGCCTCTCTGAATTCTGTGTGTTACTTAAATCCTAGTAACTTACCTCGGCTTCTTTGTGGAACATTGCTGTGGCAAATTGGCTGCTGTGTTCACCCACAAATTATACACAGCCTCATCTTTTACAGTATATTCTGTGAAGTGCTTTGAGACATATCGACGACTTGATAAGGCGCTATATCAAATGCACAGATTATTATTAATCATAAATTTTTGTGCATTTGTACCAAATTCCAGAGTGACCCATCTGTGAACCTGTGCCTATTTGGGTTTGAGCACAGCTCAAGTTGCAGTGCTTTGTATTTTTGTATTTTCACCACACTTAGTATTGACACTTTCCTATCTAGAACATAGCACACATATAGATATTGCCGTGTCACATTGATAGGAACATGGTGCTTTGGTGTATCTTTATCAGAGTTAGGAAGTGGTTTCATTAGAGCATGGACTCTGTCTCAAAACAGATATGCTAGAAACAGACAGATATTTCTGTGATTTTCCAATTGCTAACAAAACAATTGAAAGAACATTGTAATAGATTGACTATGGAAACCTGTAACTTGAATTTGTCTGAAAAGAATGTAATTAGATACTAATACAGAACTTGCAATTTTTGGAGTCAATAGTAAGAACATAAGAAATGCTACGACGAAAAAAGACCAAGGTCCATCTAGTTTGCCTTCCACCTTCCTGGCGATTGCATGTACATACGTCACAAACTACCTATGTACTATATCCCATAATGTTATTTCCTAAAAGAAAATTATCTAATTTGTACAGGCATTAGTATCTTAACTTTAATCTTAACATAGCTACATTTGGTAAGAACAGAAACAAAAATCAGAGATTGCTGGGAACATTCAGCAGGTCAGGCAGAATCTATGGAGAAAGGAAAGTGGGTCAATGTTTCGGGTCCATGACCCTTCGTCAGAACTGCCAAAGGGTCAGTTCTAAGCGCTCTGAGACGCCGTCCGGCGTGGAGGACGCTATATAAATCCAAGTTGTTGTTGTTGTTATTGATGAAGGTCATGGACCTGAAATGTTGACCCACTTTCCCATCTCCATAGATGCTGCCCGACCTGCTGAATGTTCCCAGTGATCTCTGTTTTTGTTTCCGATTTCCAGCATCTGCAGTACTTTACGTTTTATTTTGTAATTCAAAAAAGGATCTGGGTATCAGTGGTCATCTCTGACCCGCTGATGCACAATCAGTGTAGCTGGGTTTTGTCATGGAAGATTGATACATTGAATTCATCTGGTCAGCAATTCTGTACAATCTTTCTGCTGAGACTGAAATAATCAATCAGTGTGCCAGAAAACCACATTTGAAGTCAGAATCTATCAGGGAAAATTAACCTAGCAGGGTGAATTTCAGCCTCGTGGACACAGAGCAGAGAAACTATATTGCGAAGCTGCCTGAATAATTCAGAAAATCAATGAGAGGGTCTCTTTTATCACCATCTCTGAATGGTGACAATTTTAAAATACTTGGTATCAAACCGAGGCAATTTTATTCTGGATTGAACTGTGGTCCAGTTGACCTATTCTATACTATTATATTCTTCTGTCATGATTACCATACGATTCAGTGCATATGTCTCACCTTCAGAGAGGTGATATGTGGTCCAGACTGAGTGATTCTTTATCACTAAGCTGCAGGCTGTACTTCTACGGTGCAGCTTTCCTGCTATTTTGTGATTTTTAATAAAGTTATTTTTCTCACTAACATCAATCTATTACAGTTCCAGCTTTGCATCTTTGTATTAACATCTGTTAAGTTATACGCAGGGACCAAAGCACTAGAGCAACAAAATAGTCAGTTCTGTGAGATGTGTAATTGACTTACACCTACAATTATATTATTAAAAAACAGCAACCTTTAATAGCAACACCTGCCCTCCCCCCCACTCACACACGCAATCCAAAAATGTTAAGTTGCCTCCAAAATTCGCAGTCACTACATTTATGGTAAATTGTGTGAAGCGTATTGAGACATCCTCTCGATGTGTAAGATGTTATATCAAATGCTAGTTATTATTAATAGGAAGTAGTTTTACTCCCTTGCAGTAAATCACTATTTCTATTAATATCTTAATCACTAATATCTTAATCACTACTATCATATTGTGAAATGAGAGACTAAATATAAAGCAACTGGAAAAAGCAATTGCAGCATAAAAGAGGTTTCTCCAGACAATGTTGTCTTGTGAGACTTAGGCTCCAATGAGAGCGTGGGTCATTGCTGACATCTTGTAAGGCTGTGTGCGCACAGGGAATACCTTGCAGGAAGGGCTGTTCACACATCTGGTGTTCTTCTATCTGTGAGGCACAGGTGAAGTAGGTAGAGCGGCTTTTTAAACCCTTGTTTGAATTTCTATTCTAATTTGACCAATTGTCTTTTGTGCCGCTCTTTCTTCAGCATTCAGCTAGTCCACCACAGCTCCATCCAGAAATCCACAAAGGAGCTTCGGAACATGTCGAAGAACCGGGAGGCAGCCTGGCCCCTCTCCACACTACCCGTCTTCAACCCAGTGACAGGCGAGATAGTGCCACCACTTCACCATTCAGACAACTGCGACACCTCCAACATGCCTCTCATGCAGACACAGCAGTGAGTCTTGCCTTCCCTCACACTATTGGCCTCCCAACTGTCAGGTTTGGTTTGTCTCTTCATTCCCCTTTTCCACAGCTGCAGCAGCAAGTGTTGTGAGAGTGGTCAACGGGAGCAGAAACTTCTATGATTTGGTCATATCATTGTCACCAGGATGTGATTCAGGCTGATAATGAACTGAAACTGATCTACGCCATTTAAAATCCCCCAAAACCTAATCATATGAACCCCCTGTAAAAAGTATGGGTGTCTCAAATGCAACAACCTAAAAGGGATTACTTAATTAAGGAATCCAGAAATAAGTCACACCAACCTGTGGGAATGTCTAACCCGATCTACTTCCCGCTAGTTAACATGACTTGTATGACATGCTTCTGGTTATCAGAGTTCCCACTTGCATTTCTTGATGAAGGAAAGCCATTTAAAGTCAAACTGTATGAGATAACTGAAGTGCATTGTTTTACTGGCACCTGCTGATGTAATTGTCCTTTGCTGTTGAACTTTGTGTATTAAATCTTAACAACTCTGCATGTCGGTCCTGTGAATCAGTTAAAAGTTTAGCTGCTTCTAAGTCTATGAGCAGCAGGTTTAAGAATGGCAGAGCCACATTTCCACCTGTGAGCACATTTGAAATGTGAGTCCATTTTGTCTTAAAAATTAAGATGGAATTTAAGAATTGTGGAAATATCTTGAATTCAGCCTTAAATTGTAAGCTGGGTCTAATTAAGAATTGCGGAAAACCGGTTTCTAAATAAAGACTTTTTTTAAAAAAAACCACAATTCTGCGCACTCTTAAATTTTAAGGAAAGATGGTTTTACCTGTTAAGACTAGATAGGATTGGAGGCTTCAGACGGTTTCTTTGTATCACCCAGATGCCTGGAATCAATGACTCTGACTGTAACAATGTTTTGTCTTGCAGGAATCACCCATTGCAGACCCAGCTCCCCCAGCAGCACGGTGCAGGTCAGTATCCAACATCTCCCTCGCCTTCTATCCCCTGCTCGAACCACTACCCCATTGACTACCATGCAACATAATTGGTGTGGAGATGGAGGAAAAGCTTCTCATGCAAGTCTGTTTTACTTTCACACCATATTGTGGGAAAAGGGTAACGAAACAAATAAGTGTTATGTGGCACATGTAACAGTTGGTATCACAGATCTGCATGTTAGCAACAGGCTGCTGCAGCTTTGGGTCGGTATACAGGGAAGTACCCACCCTCCCTCCAGGGCAGCATGTTCCCCACAATGGCTGCTTAACGCCCCATTTCATTTCTGGCGTGCGTTAATATATAGTAGAGAGACCGATATCCGCACAAACTGCGACCAGCCTCCTTGTACCTATGGAAACAGTCAGGTCATTAAACCATCTTTAATTCAAACAAAATCTTCTGCCAGGAATTATATTTGGGACAAATTTGTGACATTCACAGATCAGCAAAACACAGTTATGTGGCTGCCAGGCTGAGGGAACTCCTCTCGGATGCTGATCTCGGTCCCCACTGATGTGAAATCATCATCTGAGTGGTGTTCTGCAGTTGGCTGCTGTCACTACACTATATCACTGCACAGATTGTCAATCAACTAAAATGTTATTATCTGTTCAGAAACAAAACCAGGAAATCCTAGAATTACAAATTAGAACCTATCCACAAACACTATTTTCAGCCCTTCTCTCTCCTCCAGACAATCCTGCATTTTGCCACCTCGAAATGTGCCAGCCCTACTCTCTCCTGCTCACAGTGAGGCAGCTCCTCTCTCTCCCCTCACTCTCTCTCTCCTGCTCACAGTGAGGTAACTCCTCTCTCTCCCCTCACTCTCTCCTGCTCACAGTGAGGTAACTCCTCTCTCTCCCCTCACTCTCTCCTGCTCACAGTGAGGTAACTCCTCTCTCTCCCCTCTCTAACTCTCTCCTGCTCACCGTGAGGCAGCTCCTCTCTCTCCCCTCTCTAACTCTCTCCTGCTCACAGTGAGGCAGCTCCTCTCTCTCCCCTCTCTCTCTCTCCTGCTCAGTGTGCCAGTTCTGTTTTCTGACGATGGACCAGCTGTGCATTCGCCCGCACAAAGAGTGACATCTCTTCTTTCTCCCCTCATACAATGTGCCAACTCTTCCCTCTCCCCCACATCCATTTTGTAGATCGATCTCTCTCCCCTCTCCCCCCCACCACCCCATACATACACATGAATTGCCAGTCTTTCTTCCCTAAAATTACATAGTGTGAAAATGTCTGACGTATCAGGATCTCAGGGTGTGGTTATTCAGTGTGCGGATGTCAAGCACTCGACTGTAGCTAACATTTCTACTAACCAGTGTCGGTTTTTCCTCCCCTCATTTGGTCTTGGTTAGTTTTGTCTGAAATCAGTGTTTCTATATTAAATTCTTAATTCACAAAAATCTGCTTCTTCATTCTTGCTTTCATGATTGGAGGAGAATTTTATATGTCGACATTTCTACAATTTGAGGCAAGTAAACCAGTGTCAATATGCTTATTTTGCAAAGGTCTTATCTTTCTTCACTCCTTTTCTATCTCTGGTCATCATGTTGGAGGAATAGAGGCTGAGCTTCTTGAAACCTCTGTCTCCTACACCTTATGCTAGGGAGTCATTGAAATGGGACTGGCTCCACTGCGGTGCGAGTTACATCCCCTTTGAAGTGCTCCGGGATGCTACCCTGCGTGAAGGGCGCTATATAAATGCAAGTTGTTGTTGAACGAGGGGCTCCTGTAATCCTTCCTCTCTTGGTGCCCCTCTTAGCACTGCTCACTGATTGTGTGTACAGAATGATGATCAACCAATTTATGCTGAAATATTTTCCAACCCCAGCACAAAGCAGTTTATTGAGTGTAGTTGATATGATTGACACATATTCCTTCTAATGTACATATTGAAATGATTCACTTGAATCTTGGTTCAAGTAAATAATTCCTGCAAGTAATGACTTGAACTTCTCCAGGATATATTTCTACTGGTAACATACTTCACTACATTAACCATGCGGCATTTTGTACACAGATGGCTCTGAGTATTTGAAGATCATTTTTGGAATTAATCCACAATAAAGGTTACAGCCTTTCTCAAAGGCTGGTAATAACACAAAGTAGACATTCGCTCGTCAACTGCATGCTATGGGGGAGAAATTCCACCTGGGTTTAGATTTTCTCAATACATGTAGCAACTTACGAGCATCCAGATTTTGGCAATTTGTTGAATTTAGTCTTAACTTTGAAGTACTTAACTTTGAAGTTGGATTTTTGTAGTTTTTAAAATAATAATCCTTGTTATCATTTATTGATAGAACCATTTGCCGTTTTTGATGGGGCTGGTGGAAGAAAGGCTGTCTGAGGGGGAAGGGGATTCATTGAGCACTAGATTTCTGCTGTTATTACAATACCTATGGAGGCTTAGGAAGACAATGGGTATTTGGATCTTAGTTGATCTTTCACTGATCGTAACAGGCAGTGGCAGACAACCACTATCAGAATAAACCGGCTTGTTCCAGAGAAAAGCTTTAATCTTTCTACGACAGAAACGTTAGTTGCTGACCCGATACTGAATGAATTTTTTATTGTTTACAGGTAAATGACAAACCTGAGGAAGGAAAACTGAATGAGGCATTCACCTGACAGTCACATTCTACTCTGGAAGGGGATTCTTCTGCATACTGACCAAAAGTGTGTTGTTTTTACTGTGTGTGCCAATGTGCATGGATACATGTCTGTCTGCCGTTGCTATTGTCATGAATTTAACATTTTGTACCAGTGTTTCACACATTATCTAGCATAATAAAATGCAAGATTTACTTTTTGCACATTTGTAATTTATACAAGCTTTCAATGTATTTCAATTAAAACGATTTATATAGAAAAGTACTAGCCATTAAGTGGGACAAATGTTGTACAGTACAACAGATGGAAGGAATTTTCTCACAGACTTGGTTAATTGGTAGAACAAGGACCCTAGAGGGTTTTAACAAGAAGGATTGGGTATTATTAGATAATGTGAAAGAACCTTTGAGAAGTTGAATGGGTAGGCTGGCTGGACGGATCAATGGTCTACTCCTACCGAATCCATTACTATGTAATGAATGATGCCCAGAACAATGGTTACATTACACAGCTAATACCTGAAATGTTATCAGCATTTTCTCAGAACTCAGAGTTCCTTGATGTACGGATTCACACTTTTCCTCACCTGACCCTGAGTCAGTCTGGTAGCAGGTGAACTCAGCATGATGAGAAAAGATTGGTGTAGGATCTGGACTGATCTCACTGTGGATAAAGTTTATGCTGTTATTTGTATAACACAAGAACAAAAATATTCCACTCAACACTGAAAAACTTCAAATTCTTACATTCAGATTCTGTGAATTAAAAACTTGTTGGAAATACATTTTTTTAAAGATATTGCAAGGCTTTTATTTTGTTAACTTTTGAGATGCTCTTTCATGGCAAATAATAGTCTGCTGGCACTTACTGTTCAGCCTACCATGATGTTTAATCACTCACTGCTCTAAGTACTAAGAGTCACAGATGGAATTCGAATCCAGCATAATTTGGTACCTTCAGGGGAAGTGAGACAAAGGATTTGGAAGATAATAATTGGGAGGAATATTCACTTGCATTTATATAGCATCTTTCATATTTTAAGGTACGTATCTCCAAAGTTCTTTACCAAAACGGAATTATAAATGAGGTGAATGTTGTTTATATAGATGAACGTGATAGCTAATTCTAACCATCAATATCCCATAAACAAAAAAAAGGAGAAGGTAATAAAGGAAGAGATGGGGGATCATTGAAAGCAGAAACAGTGTGACAGTAGTAGGGGATCAGGACATTTAAATATTCATTATATTAGGGTGAGATACCGGAAGTTCAGAGAACTTTGGACTTCAGAGATTGGTAGAAATTTAAAGGCTTAATTATATACAGAAAAAGTCAGTGATAAATTGACAAGTCAGATTTATCTCCAGGCCCAGACCGTTTCCACCCCAAGGTACTGAAAGAAAGCTACTGATTAACTAGAAGCTCTCAGAAAAATCAGTCTTCTGGGTGACCTTCAAATTTTTCAAAGCAATTCTTAAAAATACATTCCCACAAAATATAAAGATTCTCATCCTGCACCCTTGCAATACTAAATTCCATAACTAATATATAATACTTGCATTTGATATAGCACCTCATCGGGTCATTGAGTCATTTTTGTGTGCAATTGGTTGCCACGTTTCACCCACAAAATACGCAGTCAAATCACTTTGCAGTATATTCTGTGAAGCGCTTTGAGACGTCTTGAAGATGTGATAAGGCCCTATAATAAATGCAAGGATTATTAGTACTTCAAAACACTTCACTTTGTGGTTAGTGGTCGGTGGCATCTCCAGCTAAAATGACTCAGATAAATTAATCATTCACTTAATGGTTCTCTGTGGGACTTTGAGTACAAATTCGCTGTCGTGTCTGCCCACACATACAGTCATGACATTTGGCAGCAATTGTTATATTATATGTACCATATTAAATGGTTGCAAGGATTATTAGCACAATTACTGTTGTACTCAACAAATAATCTGGTCAATACACGTTACAACTGAATCAGCTTTAACATAATTAATTTTGAGAAAATCCACTTTGGTGCTCAAATACTTTAACACTCTCTTAAATTAATCTTGGTAGTGTTTCAGCAACATTTGGATTCCCACTGGTGCAGTATTAATTTGTCTTGTGACCTGATGGTCTCCATTCACCAATATGCCCTTCCTTGGTAGTACATTGGACATAACTGGCGTCATCCTGACTCGGTTGGTAGTACTCTCACCTGTGAGTCAAAAGGTTGAAGTTTGAAACCCCAAGACGGGATTTTGAGCTAATAGTGTATGCTGACACCTCAGTGCCAGGGAGCACTACAATATTAGAGATGCCATCCTTTGAATGAGGCATTAAACCATTGGTTATTAATTTCAAGGCTGTTTGTAGGACATTGCCGTGTGCAATTTGGCTGCTGTATTTGCCTACAAATACAGTCATTACACTCTTGTGTATCCTCCTAAACGCTTTGAGACATTTCAACGTGATAAGACGCTACATCAAATGAAAGGATTGTAATTAAAATGTAAAATAACTAAATTAAAATGTTGAGAGTTTGGGAGGAAATTGGTTTTAAAACCTTTAAAAAGATAGTGATATCTAATTGGACTACATTAATCTTTTGAGATTGCAATTTTTAAAAAAAAAAAATCCAGATATTGAAAAAATCTATATTGTGATAGCAAATAAAATATGACCACTAGATGGCATTAGATAAATGTTCTAAACTTGATTTTATTTTGGTCAGCCGGATGTCTGACTCACGCAGAAACCCTCACAACGCTTAAGAATATCCAAACCAAATAGAGTTCCAAGCATATATTGAAATTCCAAAGAAGCTTATCCAAATCCAAAGCACACTCTCCCCCTGGAAGACATACACTGCTTACCTAATCCCAGAGAATAATAGGCACAGGTTGGCAAGAGCCAAGGCTTGGTGTGCATTAGGGTACCCATGGAGCCTGACCAGCTAATACCACATAGCTTGCCATTGAAAACATGATTAAGAGTAAACTTTGTTTGGAACAATGGGCTGAAATTTGCAGCATCTTAGAACAAATTCAATGCAACAATTATCGCATTTAATAGGAATGGATGGAAATAAGCAGCAGTTCATAACATTCAAAGTATTATTTTCTGTGTGTTCATTGACTCATCATTTTATTTTTCGTGCTAACCTTCAGCAAACCAAAGCAATTATATAATTTGCAGATGACCATTATTTGGAAAAAGTACTTAATTTTGGAGAGTTGTATTAACACATTATATTGAGGTTTAAATTTCCCATGACAATAAGTTGCAAATTACAAGAAAATCCAACTTAGAAAGGCAACAAATAATTGAAAGTTGTTGTAAATCACTGGTCATACAGTTTATCTAACAAGTTTATCCATCCAATTTCCCACAAGATTTCTTTGTGATCGCTCAACAATGTGATACTGTGCTATATCAAATGCAAGGATTATCATGTCTTTCGGATGTCCCAAAGCACTTCACAAAATATACTGTAAAGTGAATTGACTGTACATTTTGTGGGCGAAACGTGGCAGCCAATTGCGCACAGCAGTGTCCCACAAACAGTCGTGGATTGAGTGCCAAATTTATTATTATTTGAAGGAATTATTACTCCCGGAAAAGTAGTCGTGGATTGAGCGACAGATATATTATTATTAGAAGGAATTATTATTCCCGGAAAAGCAGATCCGCCAATCGACTTAACAACCGAGTTCCTACTCACTGCTAGGTAAACAGAGATGTGTGGAGTAAGGAAACTTGCCTACGGCTTCGCCCCGCTTGAGAATTGAACCCGGGTCATCTTGCTTGTGAGGTAAGTGCATTAACCACTATGTTACGGGATTCCATTTCTCTTACAATTCACTTGCACGAACTAGCAGTAAGTAGGAACCTGGTTGTTAGTCGATTGGCGGATCACTTTTCCATTTTGCTGTGCCCGGGATTATTATTATAACAAAGCATGTATGAAGGTCTCAGCAGCTTGGCAAGAAGAGGTAGTAGTGGAAGAGGACAATGTGACAAGCGGCGAAAGCTGAGCTAATCTGGATGTGGGGGCTTGAAAAAACAGTTGGGGGTCAGACAACAGCACTCATGCAAGTTGTCTTCAAGGCCTGATGTGAGAATTTACTGACAGGAACCAAGCAGGAGAGCTTTGGTAGTTGTCTATGATTGAAGGCAGTTGGAGCTCATCCAGGACTCTGTGCCTGACTATCAGGCAGAACAGCAGTGAACTTGGAGTTGATTGTAAAGGCTGAGATTAAGTTGGATATCATCTGCCTACAATGTGGAAGTGAATCCCATCTCTGGATGATGTTGAGTAGAATATAGATGGGGAAGAGGACTAAGCCCTGAGGACTGTGTGTGACTGTGCAGGAGATGCCGTTAGATGAGGCAAAGTTTCCTGGTGGAATAGAACTATGAAAGTTGAACAGAGAGGTGATGGAGAAAGATTAAGCATGACGTGATCAACTGTGTTGGCAGAGAGATAAAGGAGAATGAGGAGGCAGAGAGATCCCTAGTCACAGATGGAGAGAATATCATCTGCAACTTTGATCAGGGCAATGTTGGAGCTGTGGACTGGGCAGAAACTGGATTGGTGAGACTCACGCTGAGTGCTGGAGAAGAAAGAGTGAAGCTGGAAGGCAACTACTCAGCCCAGCACCTTGGAGTAGGCAGGTCTGTAGTTTGAGAGCATGCAAGGGTTGAGGAAGAGTTTCTTGAGAAGAGGATGATGACCGTGGTTTTGAAAGGGGTGGGTTTTGAAAGATGTTAAAGCTGGGCACCCAAAAACGGGTTAGGGCTGGTGTCAGGGAAAAGGTGGTGGGCGGTAGCAGAACAGATCCTCTCAATATGGACCTGTGCAAGTCCATCACGTCTTCGCATTTGGAATCGATGGTGAGCCCGGAAGGAACATGGCAAAGTGGGCAAAGTTGGTTTGTGGTGAAGAGCCTAGGGTTGTCCTTGGCCTTCAGGATCCTGGAGTAGAAAGCCGATTTTGCTGAGGTGAGGGAGAAGTAATAGGCTTTGGCCTGGTCCAGTTAGATCTGGTAATAGACCATTTGCGTTCGTCATCATTGATCTTGTGCCTTGGATACCGCGACTCTCAGATGTAATATTTTTCAGGTTATTTGTGTTAAAATATTCAGTAAGCATATCCTGTTTCTCCGTTCAGTAAATTAAAAGATATTACAAGGTATCCTCACTAACAGAACATATAATGATCAAGGCATATTATATTCGTTCTTCACTTTGTTCAGGTCCAGAGGAAATACTGTTTGTAACATTTGTAACTCTCACTTTAACTGTACTCCATTCTTAAAGGTCTATGTGGTTCACCTTTTAGAGCTGTAACAATGAACTGATGCTGCAATTAACATGAAACAATTCCACAAATATAAACAGAAGTTTTATAGTTTTATTCCCATCGATTTTAACATAAGTGTATAAAAGATCCAGAAAGGGAAAACCGCAACAATAACAGTACAGAATGTGATGAACAATTTGCAAACTAAGGCCAGTAATAGGATCTTGTGAATAAACAGATTTATAGTATTTTAGAAGGGATGGATGCTAGAATAAGCATGTCCAGTTGGCTAACCTGAAAAATATGCACAGAAATAAATACATCTCTGACAGGCTTTGACATTTACAAATTTAGAAATCATACTTAAAGCGGCAAATCAAACTAGAGACACCCTGAGGAACAAAATATATTCAGTGTTCATTTTCTCAATCCATTTAAACTAGAAATATCAAACAATATTATTACTTAAATTAACCTATTTGATTATTACAACCTATTTGAGTTCTGCTTTTAGATAGCCCAAGAGACCAGATAAAAAGCAAATTGTAGACAAAAATAATCATCAAAATAAAACTTTCTGACATTACTCCAAAGTATTTGTCTATACAGTAGTTATTTTAAATGAATTACTCAAATGCAATAATGTGAAATTTTGACACTGGAACAAATGTTTCATTTAAACAAGCAAAATGTTCACTTGGAAATCAAAAGATTTTATTATTTAGTACCAAAATTGTTATTATTATTTTTGTTATTTTTTGAAAGTAATTTCAGAAAGCTGCCAATTAGGGCCTCACAACATTCATAGAATTGGAAAAAATGTGAGAAACAAAAACATTTTCTCCCTAAAGAAGTTGCATTAAATTTTAAGAGCCAGCTCATCTGGAGAACCATTGAGCAGTTTATTACAACATGTACATGAATACGTATATAAATACTAGAAAATAAAAAAGAAAGTGGAAATCAACATGTTGGCATCTCAGAAACATCAGGAGAAATTCTAATGCACCATTTTACAATCCTATTGAAACCTATGCCAACAAAACTCAGTAAGTGCGAAATTTCAAAAATAGAAAGGGTTTGTCCTGAACACAAAACAAATGAGATTTACTTGGATCAGTGGAAAAATGGATATAGAAATGATGACTTAAAATAACTGTCCATATGTGCAATAAAGCAAAACTGTGATAAGATACTATTTCTATTTCTGGGCCGCTTGACTTCAAGCAAAGATCTGATTAAGTGCAATGAGTTCCTTTGCTAAGTCACCACCCAGTCACCACCAAAAAAAGTTACAAAAATCCCCTCTCCCTTCACAAGACTCATGGAGACACAACTCTGGAAATCATTCAAAAAGCAGATGAACCAGGTTGAGAAGCACAAGTAAACAAAGCAAAGCCATTTCAAATTGAAGGTTGTAGTGCAAAATTTACTCCAAGCTTTGTATACTCTGACTTTCAGAATATGCTAAAGAAAACTACCAAGCACAAAATAAATAAGACTGGAGTGTTCCAGGCAAAAATAAATAGCACTGACTTAACCAACGTACCAACAGAAACAGCAATCCATATTGGGCAACTGTAATTGTGAATCTCAATTACTTATTTTCATCAGTTGATTCAACAATTATGGGTACATTATTAAACTATTTCCAAAAGAAAAGTTTTACCTGACCGACCGACCAATCAATCAAGTTTCTTTTTAAAAAGGAATGGTCTCTAAATGTTTTTATAGTAGTAAAATACAGACTACACCCTGTAAATTGACAGCAAAACTATATATCTGCACTTTGTTTTTTGAACAAATGAAATTTACACTATTTCAGGTGCTGTTGTCTCTAATCTCACATTTGCATTCAGTTTCCTTGCAGAAAAACTGGGCTGGACCAATGCTTCCTTGTCTTAATGGGCTTTACGGTACAATTCTAGCGTGTTTTAATATTCTCAAGGGCTAAACTTTTAGCAACCACCTTCTATAGCCACATTAATGGACACAAGGACACTCTCCAACGTTCCAGGATTTGAGAGAAATGCAGTGCTCAACACCCCCGAAGGTTCAGTGAAATTTACTCAAAATGTGAAAGTCACTAATGGAGAAGAGCTGTTAAGGATTGTGTTGCACAGCACGACACAGAAGTCTGAGTTGACTCAAAAATATAGAAATATTAAAATTCAAAAAATATTTGAACCCTTTCCTCCCCATTTCAAAGCTGCAAAAAACACTACAATACAGTAGATTGCATCAAGCTTACAATGTATTTTCGTAAGGATTTCATGACTATTTCAAATTATAGTCATAAAATCGATGAAAATAAAATATTTAGGTTAACGAGGTCAATTAACAAGAACAGTGCATTTGCAGACAAGTTTAGTGACCAGAAAGTTTCTAACAATGCAAATTTACAGAAAGGCTAGAGTACAGTTATATATCTGATGAAGCGTTTCAAACTGATGAGATGACACATCTGGGTTTAAAGATGCCTAAATAGGATGCATGGATGATTCACAGTGAGACCATTTTCAATAAGGAATCCAGACTTCAACGAGAAGTCACTTAGGGGGTGAGGTCAAATCAGATATTAAAGTTACGGTGACAAACGTTTAGAACGGCCACATAAATACTTAGCATCCTCGCCTTCTTGAAGTGTTAAAATTAAAAGAGGTAGATAAAGATATCGTAGTCAAAAACAAAAACCTTATGTCTTTTTTTAAACTATATTTAATGTTAGATTTTTCTATATTTATAATTAAATTACATTAGTCATTGAGAATTAATACAGCACATAATCAAAAGTGTGCTGGTCAATTTTACAGCTCAAAATCCCAACACTGGAAATGTCCAACCATGCTGGCTGGAATAATTAGCCCAGCTTTACTTTGCAAATTATGGCTTGTTTTAACTGTAAGCAAAACAAAAACTCAGCCTACTGTTAGGTTTTAAAGCGAATGAACTTATGAAAAAAACTACCTAGTCCACAATGGTGGAAGAACTGTATTCAAACGATGGGAAACTAACTCACTGAAGTACAAGCATTACTAGTCAATTACTAGTGATGCCTTAAATCTCATTTAGCAGCCTTGCACTGTCACCACACCTCAATCACAAGGAAGGAAAACAACAGCTTTTATTAGATAGAATGGCAAAATGAAGCTCTCATGGGTTTAATTTGCAGCTTGTGTAAACTATGTTCATGGAGGGCATTTCAGGTAACCTTAATTATGTGACATACAATGAATCCAAATTAACTACCATTCCTTTCATTGGTTGCTAACAATTAAAGGAATCTGCTATTTCCTCTGTACACATGGTCAGTAATACCTGGAAGTTCAACCACAGCTTCTCCATTTTGCAAGTGCTATATACAAATATTAATACTTTTTAATTCATACCTAATGAAATATCTAATACAGTGTAAAGGAGCCCCCCCACCCTTCTCAAGCTTCAAAATAACTGTCAGGACTTTCACTAAGAAATAACTCAAGGAACTGCTACCTGTGTCAAATATTTCCTTCATAAAACTGGACTAATCATCACCAGTTTTTTTTCCCAAAGAATGCAGAAATGTGGAAAGCTGAGATGAAGAGGGGAAAATGCAATAGCACAGGAACCAAAGATGTTACTTCAATCACCTACACCTTCACTTTAAATAGCAATTTGGAAAGAAAAACACAGAAAAAAAGCAGAAAACCCCTTTCAGGAGATGTCAGGTCTTCAGTAGTTTCCATCAATTAAGTTTTTTCTTATAAAATCACTTTTCAAATTAATAATACAATACAATTATTTTCATCACCTCTACACGCATTACACAAGAACGAACCTTCGCTCAGATTAGAGTGCTACATTGCACACAGTCACTCAGATTCCCATCTCTCACATGTCCCTCCCCAGGGACCTCCCAAATTCTTTGGGGTTATGTTTTGTTAAAAATTACATTGTAAGTCAGAAGGCCTTTGAGCCTGTTCAGCCATTAGTTCAGGTTCTTAGTTTCAACGTTGACAACGCGAGGATCCCAAATAAAAATATAACTGCACACAACAGTCTTTTTAGTGCAATACAGTTATCTTTAGGAATGGCTATTTGTACAACATCATTTGTGATCTGAGAAATTTCATGGGCTACCAGTACAAAAATGAAGCTGCTGACAATGATGTTGAGCATTGGGTTGCCAGGAATGAGCACGAGGATTCCCTTGGTGTCTGCCGCAAGCCAGATGTGGTATTGGCATATAAATAACTGAAAAAGAAAAAAAGATTTTTGTAAACAGGGCATTTGAACTAGCCAATAAGATTTAAAATCCCCACTTATATTGCTTGCTTTAAGCTGGAAGAATGTTTTTCATTCAAACCGATGCTGTGAGGTACACTACATGTGATAGAGACAGAGAGACATTATATAGACAGAGGAGGGAAAAGAAGAATGCATGTATCAAAATTTTGTCATAGGAAGAATTAAGGAAGAGGTTAGAATGAACTTTTTCCTAACAGTGTTATTAGAACATGGAATGCAAGTGGCTATTAAAGCTAAAACCATAACATTTACAAGAGAATTGGAAATGCATTTTAATAAAAATTATACAAAAATATAAAAGAGTACAGGGAAACAACAGGGAATTGGGATTAGGATATATACAGCGCAGTCCTGTTATAATACATTTCTTTATAATGCTTTTTTGTTTATAACAAACTGAGTGTGGATTCCATCATTCCCTGCACGCAGTGGAGATGAAGTGATGCCGACAAAGACCTCAAAATCTGGAATTTGGCCATTTTATTTTAGCGTGCAAACCATTCGGCCTGCAGGAAGCGAGCCGCCTGGCTGCTTGCACAGTGATATTGGTGAAATGATTTGTTAAACAGCAGACAAGGATTTTCTCGATTTCCACCTAATGCCTTATATCAAGGCTCCAGTGGCACCACAGAAGCATATTTTAGAGCCAATTTAGCCTGAATACAATTTATTCCATTGTGCTTTTGGTCACTATTTTCTTCATTTTAGGTACCAGTAACAAAGTATTACCCATAACATGCGGAGGGTCTGGAATATGGAATGATTTATCTTGCCTTTACAAAAATGTTTTCATAATTTCTCAAGATTATGGGATCTACTTACTTCTAAAGAAATCTTGCCAAACCAGGCAAAAAAGGAACTGTACACAGAGCGAAGATATCCAGGAATATTCCGAATTAGGACGAAGGATAAGATCTGGAAAATATATGGAGGAAAGATGAAAAATACTATACACAAACATGCAGCAGAATTTAGACACTGTGGAGCAGGTAAGAAGAGTACCTGGAACGCAGAGAAGTAAGGGTGGACTTCATTACATTCGGCTTTGTTTCTACAGCTGGCACACCAGACTGAATAGGTCTGTGAAAACAAAACCAGGTGCTTAGTTCTTTATCAACACAGACCCGTTTCTTACTTAAAAAGAGCCGCCTTTATTCATCTGGTTGGCAGAGCTTGAAACACAAACACGGTGAATCAACTGATTGCACGCATCATGTGCTTTTTCCTGCCTGTTTTGCATTCCTACGTGAAATTTGTTTGAATAAGGTCACATAATAAACTAAGATTCCTTGCATTTGTTATAATGCCTTTCACGTTAGGACAACTTTTCAAAGGGCTTCACAGGATTTCACTACAAAGTGTAGCTATTATACATTTTGAATTATACATTTTGACAATTATGCAGAATAATGTACTACAAACAGCCATGAAGTAAATGACCAATTTTATTTGGGGGATTGTTGGCCAGGACACCGGGAGAAACTCTCTTCTCTTTTGGAATAGTGCCATGGGATCTTTAACATCCACCCGAACAAGCAGATGGAACCTTGGTTTAACACCTCATCCATTGGATGGTATCTCCAATATTGTAGGATACCCCAGCACTGCACTGGAGTGTCAGGCCGAGATTGTGAGTTTAAAGTTCTAACGTGGAACTTGATCCCACAACCTTAATAATAATAATCCTTGCATTTGATATAGCACTTTTCACGTCTTCTAGACATCTCAAAGAGCTTCACAGAATATATTGTAAAGTGAATTTACTGTATATTTGTGGGCAAAACTTGGCAGTGTCACAGCAGTCTCACAAACAGTTGTGGATTAAAGTGACCAATTTTATTGTTTTTGTTTTATTTTTTCTTGAGGGATTATTATCAGGCATGTGGAGTAAGGAAACTTGCCCAAGGTTTTGCCCTACCGGGAATCAACCCCAGGTCTCTCACTTGCAAGGCGAGTGCTCTAATCACTGAGCTACAGGACTCTACCTTCTGACTTAGAAGCAAGAGTGCTCCCTACTTAGCCAGTCTGACACCCGTTATTCACACATACAGTACCCAAATGTTACACATGTGGATCAGTAATAATTGTAGCCAAAAGCTCTACCATTATTTTATATGCTGCTCCCTGGTAACTCAGCTAATAATACTGAATGGAAAAATATGAGCTCCAACATTGCTGGTTGTTTATTTTTTAAAAAATCCATTGGCTTAAATAACAGGAAGGTGTAATATACATTATATGGGTTTTTACCCTTTTTTCCATGTTATTTCACTGTAACCTATTGCCTGACCAAGCAGAGAAGCAAAGCAGGCCAATGCCTCGCTAGCTAATCCCTTCGAGTAGCATATGAACAAAAATGGACTCCCTTAAATATTTTCTCATATCCATTGGGGAAGCACCTTGACTCAGCACTTCCCTCAGGAAACCTGAGCCATAAATTGTGCGCAAGATAATAATCATCTGCTCCCGATCGTTGTCTAGTAACTAATGTTAGGTACAGGTGTATAGATAGGATCAGGCGTGGTTGTGCTGCTTGTCGCAGCCAAAAGTCAAACAAATGAAGAATGTCTATAGGGGCAGGATATTGGAGGACAACTGGATCTATAGTTTAAGAGGCCCATTGACCAGCAGGCAATGGGTTTACAGCAGAGGATATACAGACAGGTGTTACACACAATGACAATCCATCACTATGCTTCATCACTAAGAGAATCCACACCAGACAGCATCACATGCAAAGAAATGTTGCTTTGTCTAGAATGGGGAGTGCACTCTCTATGGAAGGATACACCCAGTTTATCTAATCCCAGAAGGTATTTGGTACAGGGCCTGGGCAACCCAGAGTGCACATTGGGTCACATTGGGTTACCAATGTGCACTCTGGGTTGTCCAAGCCCTGTACCAAATACTTTACAGTGAAATCCTGTGAATTTAACCACCAAAATGACAGATTGAAACTCTATCAACTCTATCTGCCAAGCTTCCAACTCCTTGTCCAGATAGGAATACCTCATTTGTTATGGATTTGGCTTTCGGGGTTAATAGGAGCTGAATGGGAAGAATGCCGTGGTAAATACCCCATGACGGATAAATACTGGGGACAAAAATAATTCTGAATCCATCTCGTTAACATTACATCCCTAGCTGTAAGTAGACATTTAACCAATTCCAACATTTAAACAAATTTCTTAAAACAGACCGATATTTTATGTGTCACTCACCAAAAATGCAACTATTGAAGTAAAAAGGAGAAAAGATGATATCTTGGGGGTAAATAATGCCTCTCCTTTGCCTTCTGAAAGCAGATGTCCTTTCTTTAATATGCCATAGATGAAGGCAAAGAACATACCATGTAAGACTGCCTGCATAGAAATAGAAAGGGTAGAATTAAAACAGAGCAAAGCCAAAAACACAAGCAACAAGCATATATAACTAAAGTTTTACAGTTTTGATAGGCCTTGAGTATACTTATACACAATGGTAGTCTTAAAGAATACAAAACGTCTGCTTTACCCAGTTACAACCCATTGTTTGCTTTGTTTTTAAATAAGTAAGGAGCTTCTAAGATGACAGCCTGGCTCAAATTGGTACCACTCTAGCTTCCAAGTCAGAATGCTGTGGGTTCAATCCCCACATCAAATCCTATGACTTCACCTCATAGTTTAGGCTGACCCTCCAATGTAGTGCTGGGGGAGCATGCAATGCTGGAGGTGCCTTCCTTTGGATGAGACTTTAACATAAGGTCCTGTCTGTCTGTTTAGGTGGATTTTAAAGATCCATCACACTAGTTGAAAAGTTAATTTCTCCTAGTGTATAGAAACACTGACAATGTGATAAGGCATTTATCAATGCAAGGATTATTATACTCCACCATCACTGTAGTACCACACTGTGCCAGTCCTCCTCTCTCTGACTTTAATTTCTTTTACTCGTGCCTTTTGCTCTTTCTGTTTCTGTGTGTTATCTATTTGTTTACCCGATGATATATCTAACATTCTATCTCTTTATCTGTATACTATCTCTATTTCTAGCCTTAAGCTGCATCTTCGCAACTAGCAAAAAAAAAGTCCTGTGTGTGCTAAGTTGTACACGTGAGAGTGAAATTGCTAGGATTGTGCAGTCTGGCTCAGTGTGTCTCTAGAAGCCTCAGTGCAACTTCTGATATCAGCTTGTTATTCTCTTGCTAGTCCAAGTCTGCAGAACAATCGGCCTGAGACACTGCACTGCGTAAAGTAACAGTTTTGACTGATTGCTCTGCAGATGTAAAGTGAATCCATATAGATACAAGTTGTATCTTCCGCATCGGAACCCATGTGGATAAATAGCATTCTACTACATTGTGTAAAGACTTGTGTATAGTTACGTACAAAGCGATCGAGCTTCCATCGAAACCACCATTCGTGAAGGAGGCCTTGCCACTCAAAGAGTTTCGAAATTGGCCAAACTGAAAAAGCCTTCTCAAAATAGCTCTAAAATTAAAACAGGTAACAGCAGCATTTAGGCACATATCAATATATTGAGAGGGTAAGAAAATCACACGTGCACATGCTTCCACCATACTAAAGGAAACTGAACAAATTAAATTCAAGTGTCCAACATATTGTTTAAATCTGCTGGTCTAAGATTATGTTAGGTCGGTGCTCAACACATAATTGCAGGTGCAAAAAGCTGTCAAAGCTGATAAAGTCAAGTCACTTACAAGTTTTATTCAAACATGATCAGCGTTACTGAAGCACAGAACTTTCCACATTTCATAGTTCAAAGCATCGTCAGTGTTTGGCATACCAGTTTATTTCTGGATGCCAGAAGACGTGCAGCTTGATGAGAACCTTTTTTTAAAGCAACAAGCTTGATACTGTTCTTATATAAAATGCAGGTCACTAAGTAGTTATGACCACATCTCCCCAAAAACTAATCATGTTAGAACTCTTGAAACAATTTAATTTTGGCTCAGCATTTTGTGGTTAAACATGTAAAACATGTAAAGTCTTACAGATTGTGCAAATTTAATGAATATAATTTAATAATCATTTTAAATTGCAAAACACAAATAAGATAAGCCATGAATTTCCAGAAGCCACCTCAATGTCTTACATCCTCAGTACAATTATGGAATGCGTAGCATGGAAACAACGAATTAGTGTCAAAGTTTATTTTCCACACAAGTCTTTCCCCTCCCCAATCCTCTCTTCCATTCCCCTCTATTCCCTTCTTATACGTACATCAAGTGTCCTCTTAAATATGTTGATACTTTCCGCTTCAACCACAGCTTCTAGCAGTGAGCTCCTCATTCTCACCGCTGTCTGTCTAGACACCTGTTTAGATCTACTAGTGGCTATCTTATATTTATGCCCCCCTTGTTGTGGAGTTACCAACAAGTGGAATATTTATATAGAATCAGGAATAGACAAAAGATCTGTGATAGTTTATAAAGTAATTAGAAAAAAATCAAACCAAAAGGGCACTTTACACAGCCAACCTACACATGAAAATTCCTGTCTGGAATGGAATGCACACTCTTCCTGGAGGGACACACCTTGCTTATCCAATTCCTGAAAGTATTACGCGCCAGTTGACTAGAGCCAAGGCTTGGGAACCCCACAGTGTGCGTTTGTGTAATGCCGGCGCTTAACCAGCTAAAACCACATAGCTTCCTGCTGCTTGCCCAGCTAGAACCACCCTGCCATGTTTGTGCTTTGGCTCGCGGGGTTAACAGAAGCTGAGTGGCAAGAATTCCTGCTCCAGTCCTACTAATTGATCGCTGGTGTGTCGTCAGCAGCTATTTCCTTAAGTTTCCTTATCATCTATTCAACAGACATCTACATTCAGAATGATGGGAGGACCTTTACTTTTGAGAGGATCTCCCTTCCCCTTCATCTGCTCCCACCCACCCCACACACTGACAGACCGAATCCTTCCCCTTTCTAAACATTATGAAGGACCAACCTGAGAAGCTGCAAGAAGACAAATGCATAATAATAATCCAAGAAACTTGAACATCACTGTCCAGTGGGAGGAACAGGTATCTGAAGCAGAATAAGACTGCATTATATTTGTGTTAAAAAAAAACAATTCAAGGTAAATATTTTAGCAGTGTAGAGAACTGTGGTCCAAAGGGACATCTGCTGTATGCAACAAAGAATGGCTTCCTTTCCCAGCTTCACAGCTTTTTTTCCAAAGATGATGGGTCATGTTGGGGTATACATTTACTTTGGTCAGACTCTTGGCTGACATGAGCTTACGTCACCACGCTTAAAAAGGATCCAAACCAAACAGATCAGTCAAGCTCTCATGTGAATTATTTTCCAGTGGTCAGTGGCCAATAATCAGTGAGAACCCTGGTTGATTAGTTTTAATGTTCACAAGCTCAAAGGGCTCCGAGACAAATTGCTGCATCTCCTACTGTTTCATTGAGTCCTTTCTGATCTCTACCAGAATACTGTAGTTTGGGTCTTTGACCTCACAGTCTAGGTTAACACTTCCCTGCAGTGCTGGGGGAGGTGCCGCATTATTGGAGGTTCTGTCCTTCAGATGAAATGTTAAACCAGTCACATTTGCCTGTTCAGGTGAACGTTAAAGATCTCATGGCACTATTTGAAAAGAGGAGGGCTTATCTCTTGGTGTTCTGCTCAATAATCCCCCAAATAAAAATTGGTCATTTACTTCATAGCTGTTTGTGGGGCATTGTTATTGCGTCTTTCATTTCAGGAGAACATCTCAAAGTGTTTGACAGGATATGCTGTAAAATATAGTGTCTGTGTATTTTGTAGGTTTGAAATAATACATTGGAGCTTAAAACTCTATTAAGATGCTGGATATACATATTTTCATAGAACATTGAAAATCTGTACAAAATATCTCTGAATATAAATATCCAATATCAACTTATACTGAGACACCAGTGCCCATAGGATATAGTTGCACAGTTAAAACTCGGTGTTTTGGATGCGTAATATTAGGTACAGGTTCCTGGAAAGAAAAATGGCCACCAGGGTCAGGTTGACCCTGACATTTCTGGTTTGGGCTGGCCAACTTTCATCCATGGACACGAAGTGCAGGAAATTGGCTGGTGAGTTATGACTGCTCTCATGACCTCGTCAGAAGCCACCACACCTCCAGCAATTAAGGGTGTGCTATCAGCTAGTAAGGCTGCTTATAACAGAGTCTCTCCCTTTGTAATTTTATGGATCAAAGACTGCCTAACATGAAAGTGCCGGTTTATCTTGTTTACCAATTATTACTCATTGGAAAAGACAAAAGCAAATATTTAAGAGCACCTTCCTACCAAGCTATACAGAATCCTTATCAATCGTATATTATACAATTACCCTACAAATAATAATAATCCTTGCATTTGATATAGGACTTTTCACGTCTTCTAGACGTCTCAAAGCGCTTCACAGAATATACTCTAAAGTGAATCGACTGTATATTTGTGGGCGAAACGCGGCAGCCAATGGCGTATAGCAGTGTCCCACAAACAGTTGTGGATTGAAGTGACCAATTTTTTTTAACACAGATAACACAGACAATAGCTTCTTACAGGTTAGGATATTAGAGACACCAGATATGCTCTTCAATTTTTTGCAATAAAGTTCTTTGGTGCATTCGGAAGATTTAAGTTACTCAGCCAACATCCCTGCGTAACCATCAAACTTAGATAAGACATTTGTCCACTTCAACACGTTTTACACTTTTAAATCTTTATCTTTCTAAGGCACTGCAGTTTTATAGTTACATATTTAAAAAGAGTTGGCACAGCCAGTTAGTCACATCTGTAGCTTGCTCTGATATTCTAGTAGTATAAGTTGTAAATAATATTGATTGCTTTTAATGAAAATAGAAAGTGCAATACCATTTGTGTCTTTCTTGCCAGTCTGCGGCCAAATGCCTAGTGTTGCATAAATCACAATGAACCAGAAGGTTACTAATGGAACGAAGTAGTAGAATTGATAGGGTCGATCCATTACTAGGCACAGGACCACAACCAGGAAATTCAGGCGAAATAATATCTGGAAAAGATATTTACAAATCATTTAAGTGAGATATTGCAGCGCTCTGAATATTTTACGTCATCAACCTAAACATAAATTTGGTCAATGAAACCCCAATAACACACAATTTCATAACACAAATAAAGGACTGGGAAAAGTTAATTTAGCATATCAAGCCTCCCAGAATATTTGCTATCCACTTTCTCTGAACCACCAAAAAGCAATTGACAACTCTACATACTTTTTTTGCTATCTGACTTCTTACCAATAAGGGAGCTGCATGGATCATCATGTCCATTAAGTGGAGTTCTAGCCAGTCCTTGCCAGGCTCCACTGGCTCTCTATCACCTAACAGATAGATTTCAAGATCCTCACACCCGTTTTGAAATCCCTTCATGCTGTGGCAACTCCCTACTGCTCCGACCTGCTTACCCCCCAACCCACTACTTCCGCTTGAATGGCTCCGGCCTCCTGCATGTCCCTTGTGCCCTCCATTCCACCATTGGTGGTCACACTTTCAGCTATGCCCCGAAACTCTGGAACACACTTCCTCTGTCCCTCTGCCTTCCCCCTTCCTTCCCCATCTTCAGGACGCGCCTGAAGACCTTCCTGTTCGACAATGCCTACGGTCACCTCTCCCTGGCTTGGCATTGTGCTCTGCCACTGTCGAGTGCTCTCAGACGCTACCCTTACATAAATGCAAGTTGTTGTTGTTGCTGCTGCAGTTGCTTCAATTTATCAACACCCTTGCAGTCCTCAATGCAATTTAGTCTGAACTGCAGGTTAAACCTCTGAAAGAACATTTTTGGAAGTCTTACAATCAAATTAAATCACAAAAGCATAGAGATTGAGTATTCTGATGATATCAACAAGGACAAAAAGTACTGCAGTTTGAAAAAAATACTATTTTTAAAAAAAAATTAGTGTGTTCAATTATTTTTTCTCATTGGCACATCCTGGTTCCCAGCCTCTTCATGCTGGAATGCGTTTCCAATGGCAATGGTTGCACTCCACCACCCAGCCTGAGTGCTCATTATTCACATGTGAGCCTTGGCAGTGAGTATTGGCAGACCACAAGACCGCAATGGGAATCAGTCACCCCAAGTGTTTTTTATTCTCCCTCCCCCTTTGGTCAATTTAGATTTCACATGTAGCCATGGCTGAGACAAGCAAATTTAGATTTTTTTCTTTATTGTTTTACAGATCTAAACTAGCTTAACTTAATACAAAGTTTTCGACCTATTAGCAACATATTCAGGGATCAAAACCAAGTAATACCTGACTGTTGGCACGTTTTATGTTGCTTACCTGACAAATTCGAGAAATTCCATATTCCCCACTTTTCCAAAAGTAAGAAAAGTGCCCGTAACCCGTCTGGAACAGATATGCTGCCACAAGAACACGCACATTCATGTAAATGGGTACAAACTAAAAAAAAGAGAACAACAAAGTCTGCTATCATTCCCATGTCCACATGAGTGACAGGTTAATCCAAAAGAAGAAATGTACAATAGGGTAAAACTTGCAAATACACTCAGACATTTAACAGGAGTATCGATAAGGGCCATATAAATTTGTGACAAAAACTGCTATTAATTAAATATAAATGCTTAATAGGTGTGGGTAGAACAGATAAAGGCTGATACTTACTGTACTTGCTCCAGATATATGATATATCAGTATTATTAGTTGCATCCATCCCTTCCATTCATCAGTTTGCTCTCTGTTCAGCATTGTTGTCTGGAGAAGAACAAGTTGTTCAAAACCATACTTAAATATCTGATAATTTAAACAATTCTCAATTGTTCTCCATGCCACATTGTATAATTGAGAACAGGGATCAATTGGCCTATAAAATTCTAAAGAAAATCCACAGATCCTATAACAACTTGTGTTTATATAACGGCCTTCATGTAGGGTAGCTGCTGTAGCTTCTTGAAGTGCGTAACGTGGTGGAGCTCGACTTCAAGACAGGGGGAGGGTAGAGGTGACCGTAAGCACAGTCAAAGAAGGAGGTCTTCAGGTGTGATTTGAAGGTGGGCAAGGAGATTAAGGTAGAGAGTTCCAGAGTCTAGGGGCATAGTGGCCTGAAAACATGGTGGAGCGGAGGGGACAAGGGATGTGCAGGAGGCCAGAGTCTGCTGAGCGAAGTGGGAGGGTAAATCTAACCAAAGAATTACTAGGTGGATAAAGTTTACTTTGTTCCCATCGCTCAGGTGTAGTCAGGTAAATTGAAAAGGTGAAAAGCATTGAGGATATGGGAACATAGTAACCATTAATTTTTCTGACACAGGTTAAAGAGGCCATCAAGCCTTTTGAGCTTGTTCAGTCAGTTTATTGGTTCTTGGCAGATCTCTTAATCTCATTTTTCTGCCTTTTCTCCATGTTCTTAGTATCATTTAATTGCTTTACTTTCTGAGTAGCTGTTTCCCTTTTAAACCATTCAATTGATTCTGCCTCCCAGTGTTCTCGGGGCAGTGGTTTCCATATTTTTATGACATTCTCTGTGAAATGTTTTCTGATTTTGCTTTTAATTTTATTAGCTCTGATCTTAAGATAATATCCTCTTGTTTTAGATTCTCTCTACCAAAGTTAAACAAACATCGCCAACCACCTGGACTATAAGGAATATAACCAAAGTTTACTCAACAAGGTTCACCTCAGATATTAATCTAGTGAATCAACATGGAATGTCCTCAATGGACACCCGGTACTCCAACAACGGTAATTAAAATTATATACACAAGAAATCATTTTCTGCAGAAAACAGATGATATAATTCCAAACCTAAATTAAACTAAAATCCTTTGCTATACATACTTGTATAACAGCCATATTATGTAATGTGTAAATTGCTTTCATAATGTCTATGAAAGGGATTTCCTTTCAATTCCAGGTTATAAATTAAAATTAGCAACTGGTATGAATGAATACTAACATTAATGTGCAATAGTATAATAATAATCCTTGCATTTGATACAGCACCTTATCACATCTTCTAGACGTCTCAAAGCGCTTTACAGAACATACTGTAAAGTGAATTAATTGACTGTATATTTTGTGGGCAAAACACGGCAGCCACTTGCGTACAGCAGTGTCCCACAAACAGTCATGGATTGAGCGACCAAATTATTATTATTGAATTATTTTTTGAAGGGATTATTACCCTTGGAAGAGCGATCCGACAATCACTAACAACTGGGTTCCTATTTACTTCAAGGTAAACAAAGATGTGTGGAGTAAAGAACTTGCCCAACAAATCGCCCTGTCGGGAATCGAACCCAGGACCTCTTGCTTGCGAGCCGAGTGCTCTAACCACTAAGCTACAGGACTCCTTCAGTTATAAAGCATTCTAACTTTGCTGCAATTTCAATATTGGTGTAGAATGTAAGTAAAGTACTCAAATAGTAAAACTGTTTACAGAAGATAAACACATTAGAAATAGGGAAACTTTTAATACCTCTTTTGTGTTTTCATTGTAGAATATTCCCAGCACAAAAATATGCACCAGCGGCACAAAGAACGTTGCATGTGTGTAATATTTCTGCTCTTTCATGAACAAATTAGCTCGGTCACAAAGATAGAAATAGGCCATGATTAGGCCTAATTTAGAGAGGGCCCAGAGTAATTTTTCTGGATTGGAGTGTGAAGGTGAAGCTTTGGCAGGTTTTTTCTCTTCCCCACTCTCAACATCAGTGATAGGTTTACTCTTCCGTTCATTGTGGTAAAAGAGCATCACCCCCATGCAGCCAATAATACAAATACCAAAAAAACAGCCAGTCAATTGCTGAATCAAAGAAAGAGGAGGCTGGGGAAGGCAGCAGGAACCGTCAATGGGTTTCACAATCCTATTGCAATACGAGTTCATGAGAATCATAGCACTCTGCAAAAGAAAATGTTACAATTTATTGTTTCATCTACCAACATTTTAGGATTTAGAATATTAAATAAGAAATCCATAATAGGTTTCCTCATCAGCCAATGCGTCTCCATTTTATTCCATTATATTAATAATCCTTGCATTTTATATAGCACCTTATCATGCTGTTGGGATGTCTCAAAGAGCTTCACAGAATATATTGTAAAGTGGAGTGACTGTGTATTTTGTGGGCGAAACGGAAACAAGGCAGCCAATTGCACACAACAATGTTGCACAAACAGTCGTGGATTGAGCGACTGTTTTTTAAAAGGGATTATTATTCCTGGAAAGTGATCCCCCAATTGACTAACAACCGGGTTCCTACCTACTACTAGGTAAACGGAGTAAGGAAACTTGTCTAAGGTTTCGCCCCGGGAGTCGAACTTGGGTCCGCTCGCTTGTGAGGCGAGCACGCTAACCACTGCACTACATGATTATGCTGCAAACATGACAATGCTATTAATCCCCGATGGTACATATAGTAGAACTCCATTATAATGCAGTGGTGGTGTCCATCAAATCTGCCTTATAAAGAAGGTGATCGCTGATCATGCTTTCACTGCACACACATGCAGAAAGCTGGCTGGCTTCCTATGTTACTGTATCATTCATCATTAGTCTTTTAAATATAAACTGATTATAAAGGAATATAGAAATTTATTAAAAACAATCAATTTACTTGTTTTTAAGGGTGTTGTGTAACTTTGTATTGTTGTCCTGTGTGTATCATGTCCTACCATTACTCTGCCACATACTTCCCACAGTAAAATATCAGCTGAGCTTGTCACAACTTTCACTCCCTCCCACCTCTACATCAGGGTGTATCATTCCTCAGTCGGGATTGAAAAATGGGGAGGTGCTGGTGTCAGGGTAATAACCACAGACATGAACACAAAGTGTGTTGGATCATTTTGAGGGGATTAGCAAATTCATATTTATATAAAACCCGAGGCAAAACTAAGATTTGAAGACTTACAGCTGAGGAGCACTCGGGAAACTTCAAAGGCTTGCACTATTATAGGCTCAGACATTACTTTTACTTGTGGCACCTGGATAGGAAACTTGGCAGACTATACACATGAACTTCTTGCTATGGGCTAAACAGCCCATAATTTAGCAATATTTGGGCAATCATGTTTAGAGGCTGAAGGATAAGTAATGTGGGGAAGAAAACCTTCCAGAACAATACACGAGCCCTTTTTTGTGCCGTGCACCTCTGACCAACAGAATATTGTGCACTCTTGCCAACCGCCTTCTTTTCCATCTGATTATTTACATTACGCAGAACTAATGCTGCTTACACTTCTGTAGAGCAGAGGTTTTATTAAATTGTATTCTTGTAAATTTGCATTACAACAAATTTTCTCCGAGCATGGGATTTAAAAAAAAATGGTTAACCACTGCCTTTGTTTTCTCTCAGTCTGATTTATACAGTCCTTGGTTCTCTCTCATTGATTTCCTTGCCTTGTCCTCAAACAACATGTACTAAAACTGACTGATGGAGTTTCTATTCAAGGTGAACTTTGCATTGTGTATAACATCCTGCCTCCCCAATGCACATTGTATACAAGCAGCCTTCAATCACTGTAACAGTTACAGGACTTGTGGTTCAATGTTACTTCTGGGACACAGAATAGCAATGGAGACACTGCAATGAAGATAGGTGGTTGGATAAAAATAGGGTCACAAGTCCATGCCCTATAGTATTCTAGTACTTCTAATTGTTAAGGAAACCAAATATTGCTGAAGCACGTAGAATCTTTCAACCTCCTCAGTCTTACAAAGAAATGCAAACTGCTACCTACATATATGTAGTTATAAAATCAGTTTATGTGTTTATATCTAAGCTAAATAAGAACCAACTGTCCTTTATGCAATTCCTTGCATCTATTTACTCTAGAATTTAACCTCACCTGGCTTTTATTTGGTCCATGCTGAGCATTTGGCAGCAATTCAGCAGAAAATGTAGAGCATAAATTAGGTTTGAGCCAAGCAATAATCAGGGTTTACTAGTAGAGGCTTGTTCCTGACACCAGCACTTTGATTTATCTCATTGCAGTATAGATGTGGTGAGTGAAAATCTCCACGAATCTGCTCCTCTATTGAAAAAAATTCACACAAAGTCCACTGAATCTCCCAGGAACACTGAACGGATTATTTTTGATGTTATCAGAGAATTGACCATGTGACAAATTCTTCAACAACATTAAAAACGTATTGCTAAACTATCCAAGCACAGAATTCCCAAATCAGGGTTTCTGTTTTTAACAATCTGATTCATTCCAATGTAGAACAGGAAATATAAATTAGGCTTCTGGCTTCATGTCACTGCTGGGAAAGAAGGAGCTGTACTTCCAGTAGTGTAAACATTAAGAACATTAGCTCCACAGAGGAACAACCACTCTGTAGAATATGGGCAACTAGTGTACAGTATTACTGCAAGTTGAATAAGCATATTGCAATGTTAGCTATGATCTTCATAACCAAGGCATGAAGTACCATAGTACCAAAACACATCAGCTGTTTTTATGCAGCTCACAATTAGATTATAAATGCAAAAATATACAACCAGTGATGAATAATACTTAAACATTTGTTAACATTTCAACAGCCTTTGTTCAGAGCTTAAATATTCTCAAAATGTCACTACAAAATTTCAAAAGTAAAACTTCTAAACATTACAGCTGTGGTCACAAGATAACTTACAATATCTCTGGTAGTTTCAGGTAAATGCAAGCCATCTAAAGATGCTACAATAGTTTCATCTGCAATCAGTTTGGAAGCCCTCAAGATTTTGACCTTGGCTGCAGCACTTCTGGTACTGCTGTTCAAAATGCTCAGAGCTGCCTTATTGTATAATGCAATCCTCTGATTTGTGATCATCTTCCTGTTCTCACTCAGCACGTTTTCATAGACTGGATCTGGCAAGAAACAAAAAAATGAACTCAATTATCCTTACAGTTACAAAGCATCTTTATTACAAATGAAGATTTCTTTAGAAAATGTATCATTCATAAAACCTCACACTAGGATAAATAATTGATGTGGATGATTTTACCTTGCAGAACCCAATAAACTTCACGAGTTTCTGATAACTTCTCCAACACAGGCAAAATTGATGTAAGATTGATTTTATATTGGTTGAGGGCTTCCTTACTTCCATTATGTATCTTAATTGACCACTGTAAAGAAAAAAGCATTTATTTTTTGAACTTAAGTTAAAGCATTCTACAATTCAAATTAAAGAGAAATGAAAACATAAAAGTATATTAATTTACCGTAGCAGCGCCTATCACAATAATATGGGGTTTGGGTTGGATATCTTGCACCTGAACAAAAAACAAACACATTTCAAGTCAAATTAATTTCTTAAACAACAACAACTTGCATTTATGCAGCGCCCTTCACGCGGGGAGCGTCCCAGACTACTTGACAGTCTGACAACGAGCCAAGAGAGGGGGGAGGGTGGTGACCGTAACCACCATCAAAAAGGAATTGAAAGTGGGAAGGTGGGGCAAGGTGGAGAGACTGAGGGAGAGAGTTCAGGAGTTTTGGACCGTAATGGCTGAAGGCACAGCCACCAATGGTGGAGTGGAGGAGACGAGGGACAACGAGGTGGCTGAAGCCAACCGAGCAGCGGGTGGTGGAAAGGGGGGTAAGCGGATTGAATAGGTAGGCAGGTGCGAGGACATGAAGGGATTCGAAAATGAGTGAGAGGATCTTGAAATCGATCCATTTGATGTGATGGGGATACAGAGTTTTTGTCCGGGTGGGTATCCATGCAGCGGAGTTTTTAATTAATTGATGTCTTAAAGAAATTATGTGTTTTTTGGTAATAGGGAAGATATCATGACTATTTGGTCACCGTGTAGAAAAAGGGCTACTCAAACATTCTAAGCTTTTTTTAAAAAAAGGTTACTAAAGAGTTTGTCTCTTTGAAAACTAACAATTTGCAATTGTATAATAAATACCAATTCTTGTATTTGATATACTACCTCATCACAAAGAAGACAACGTGCAAAGCGCTATATCAAATGCAATGATTATTATTATTATTATCATCATCACGTCTTCAAAAATCTCAAAGTGCTTAAGAGGATATACAGGAAGGTGTATTGTAGGCAAGTGCATTTCATCTAAACTAACTTCTCAAATTGCTTGAGAAATGTGGTGGTGGACACCAAGTAGTGAAATAAAGAACTTAAAGATGATGAACAAAGCGTGGTGGATAGTGTTTTTGAAGACGGAGAGAAGTAGTAAGGGAAAGTGTTTTTTGAAGAGAGTTCAAAAAGACAACAGCATAAAACAAAGGCACGGCGAGTGACAGTGGAACAAGGGGAATGGAAAATGAGTCAGAAAAGTCGAGGGGATAGGCTTGAGATGGTTACACAAGGCCAAGGTGGGGTTTTAACAAGGTGGGATCCCTCTAGCTGTAGCACAATGATTGGGCTTGAAGGTCTCTAATTACAACAATTTTACACTTATATTGTGCCTGTCATGTTGGGAGGAGATGCTACGTGGATGAAGGGCATCATACAAAAGCAAGTTACCGTTGTTCCAAAATGATTCACAGAGCTGATTATGGAGAACCATAGCTTTAAGAAAACAGGATCACTATTCAATTCAGCTAGTATTATGGAAAGTATTATGTTACAATTGATATAAAAGTATTTTCTCCTGCGTTCTTCTTCCTTGAATAAAAAGGTGATTGAACAAATTTTAAAAACTCCCATACATCAGACCATTGTGCCAAAGATGTGGGGTGTTCAGAGCTTATAATAGGTTATAATAATAATACTTGCATTTGATATAGCACATTTCACACTGGGAGGAAGTCTCAAAGAGTTTCAATGGATATACTGAGAAGTGTATTGACTGAGTATTTTGTACGCAAAGGCGACAATCAATTTGCACATAGCAAGAGCGCTATCAACTGAGCCAGACTGACTCCTGATTGACAGTTGATAAATAACATCGGAAATTTCACCATTTAACAGATTTGATGTGATCACAACCAGAACAAAGCTTCAGACGCAAGAAGCAGTTCTCTTGATGAAATCAGGATATCTAAAATAGCAGGTCACCTGCTGTGAAGAGGGGGATGGAAGAGGCAGACTGCATTAAGTTGAAATCCTCTTAAAAAATATTCAAGAAACACTTCAGGTTGAAGAAAGTCTCCTTTAAGTCTACTTTCTTCAACTGATTTTGACTAATGTTAGGTAAATGAAATTGATTAAAATGTAAGAAATGATGCTTAGTCTTGAAAAAAACTGTAAACTTATGAAAATACTGTGAAATAAAGGAATTTTACAAATATTAACTGAAAGCTTGAAATAAGCAGTCTCCACAATATGTTATTTAAAATATTGCCAAAGGACCAATCTATAGGGAAGCTAATGTAGTTAGCTAGAGTACTTCAGGAGTGAACATTTTGCTGGAAAACATTATTCCAGATTTATGGTACTGTACAAACCTGTAGTTTTGCATTAAATATGAAACCTCTTCAGTAACAATAAATTTACGAAACTAATTTCTTTCAGCAATTCTCAGTGTGCTCATTCTGAAATTATATCAACACTTGTTCATTCTACAAAAACTCGGTGCTGGCAATATTTACAGTTGGATGTTTTTAAACAAACCTCGGTCCAGGCCTTAAAACAGTCCTTCATAGAGTTGTTTACTTCGGGATACCACAGAAAATCCTGTTAAAATAAAGTGTAATTAATGCTAATAATCTAGCTTGAAAAGTTTTGGATGCCAACTAAATCTTGCCTACTGTGGTCACCTGTGCATCACCACATGGTTCAGAGGTCACCTGTGAGCATATGACTTCCAGTCAATCAACAGGTCTGCAGTGGGTGTGCTATCGAAGCCGAAAAACATAAGATAATTTTTACCAATTGTCTTACAAACAGTTTGGCTATTTAGGGTGAACTAACGTCACTGCATTCTCTGGCCTACTACCTCTCTACCAGAGTATGGATAACCAACACCCAGGACATTCTTGAACTTGGCCTGTGAGACTCATTAGCACACAAAGTGGTGCATTTAGCCACGAAGATAAATTTAACAGCTAAATCACACAAGTCACCCACACCACTGATATCTTTCAAAGAATGTATTACATTAAGGGGAAACTATACATTTTCAAATAAAATGCAGTGCTAGAATCTTAATGTCTGCACAATGCAACTGCATAGAGACCCAAGGACATGGCTGAGATTTTCCTTTCTGAGTAAGCTTTTAAAAAGTAATTCCCTTAAATATTTCTCCTTTTGAATCTCTTCTATGGTTGCATTATTAAAATAAATACTACTGATCACATTAAAACAAAAACAAGATGTTCCAGAACTTATTAGGGTAAAATGTGAAGGAACACGGGCACTTACAACTTTTAATGAAGCACTTCGATCTTCAAAGGAAATGTTTTCATGCTGTTAAAAACAAAAGCCAATATACAGGACATTATTCAACAAAGTGTTGGAGAGAGGGTAAGAGGAGGAGAGAAACGAAGGAAAGGAGTCAAAGAAACATTCAGAAATACATTTGATCATTCCCATACCTATTATGAACTATCCCGACAACCTTCTAAAGTTTGTTTAATGTACTACAAATTTGCTCAGAAATGATTCCCAAGATACCGATTTTTTTTTCTGACACATGCTATTATGATCCTTCATAAATAGCAGAGACCCAATGACACAGAATAGATCACTCCTCATTTATATTAACAAGAAATTTAAATTTAGCAATTTGAAACAGAAGAGAAACAGTAGGATAATGTAAAAAAAGAGAATGTATGGACCAAGGGGAGTAAGGATACAAAAGTGGTATGCGATAGGAGAGAAGGTGGTTTGGCTTACGGCAGTATTTTGGCCAAATGTTTTGTAAACTAATGGCCATTTAAAAAGGCAATATTCCTTAATTGGTGCGGTTAGCAGCAGATATTTAATAATGCAGTTTGAACATATGTGAAATAATTTGGCTTTTGGTAGCTCAGTGCTTTTTGCACATTTTACAGCAGAGCACTTATATATTCAACATAACTAAAGAGGGAGTTTCTTCTAATAAAGCAAAAAACAAGCCACTAATATTTAAAGAGCAACCACAATACAATAACTTTAGGTGTGGCATTAACAGCAGGAAACGGAGAAAGCATGGTCTGCAAGCAATAGATAAAAGTCTCAAATGAACAGAAACAAGACCAAGTGACCCACTCAGCTCTCGCCAGCACCTTCTTTCTTTTGAGATTTTATCAACATTCCCTTTTGTTCACTCCAGCACTGAGCCAGTGCACAACCTTGGCATTTTGATAATCCCGCAGCACGCTTTCGAATCAGGTGCTTGAACAAGACTGGGTTTCTCCACTTCCGAAATACCTCTCGGAGGACCCCATCTCAACCCTAATTTATCTGTAAAGTTACATTAATGATGATAACAGCCCCTGGGATATTATTACAACCTTCTCTTGGTGGATTCTGAGAAGAGCCCATGTCAGGATTTGATCTCATTGTTTTGGATGACACTCCAGTACAGTCCTAAGGGATTACTGCTATTTTTCAGATCAGACTTTAAACCAAGACCCCACCTGCTTGTTCAGGAGGCTGTTAAAGATTTCATTAACTATTCATTAACTAAGTGAGAAGGGGATTTCTCTTGCTGTCATGGGGAAAGAATTCCTAAACAATCCTAAAGATTAATCTTACCTGGGTTTGGTGCTGCTTGTCACAAACCTCAACAACATACTGCAAAATTCATTGTAATGTATTAGGTTATACACAAATTTCTAATGAACCTGTACCTAGCTTCTGGAGGCTTATCTTTTGCCTTTATTATTAATAAGAGTATTTTAAGAAATATTTTTAATCCACTTCTAGTTGAAAGTGCAGTAAAACGCTAATGAAATGATAGCATTGGTTTGAGACACAAGAAAACAGTTGAAGAGGACTTACAAATGTGATTAATACAGAAAAGATTGTGATAACAAGATTATATGTTCAACTCAGGATTTGGTTGATGTTTATCAGCAGCTAAGCTTTCCTCAGAGGCATACGACTCATGAATTCTTCAACTGGATTACAGCTTTAATGCACAGATCACGGGGCACAATTTGAAAAGAGAAGGGAGTTTCTCCCAGTTTCCCAGGCAACAATTCCCCAAATAAAATTGGTCACTCATCTCATGGCTGTTTGTGGGACATTGCTGTGAGCAAATTGGCTGCCACATTCACGCCCAAAAACACACATAAAGTCAGGGGATTTCTCTTGCTGTCATGGGGAAAGAATTCCTAAACAATCCTAAAGATTAATCTTGCCTGGGTTTGGTGCTGCTTGTCACAAACCTCAACATACTGCGAAAATCATTGTAGTGTATTAGAAATTTCCAATGAACCTGTACCTAGCTTCTGGAGGCTCATATTTTGACTTTATTATTAATAAGAGCATTTTAAGAGTTATTTTTAATCCACTTCTAGTTCAAAGTGCAGTAAAACACTAATGATCAGTGTATCCTGTAACGCTTTGGGATGTCCTCCTGACATAAAAGGTCCTATACCAAATGTAACGATTATTGTTTAACTCCTTTTTATCCATGATATTTGTATAAAACTAGACAGCAATTACTTTATAAATATGTGAATGATAAATCTCTTACTGTAATTCTGCTTCTAAAGTGAAACGTATGAGCTTGATAACAAAGGGTCTGGAAGAGTAAGAAAGTTCTGTTCTAATTAAATTGAGCCCTGGACTTTATCTGGAGTAATGTGTTCAATTGTGGGTATCTGATCTTAGGAAGGACATAGCCATGAAAAGTCTAACCAGCTAAGACCACATAGCAGGCAACTGAGAGAACTGTCTGGCCAGCTTCCCACTGCCTATCCAGCTGGGACAACCCTATCCAGTAAGGCTTTGGCTAGCAGGGTTAACAGGAGTTGAGTGTGAAGAATCCCCGCCACGTGTGACTGGTCTGCCCTTCCAAGTCTTACCGATGTGCCGTGCTGTCCCTATCTCACATAAAATGCAGTTAGAACTCTCATTCACACCTTTGTAACATCCCGACTCGACTTCTGAAGTGCACTCCTTCCTACTTCCATCCTCAAGCTCTAGCTCATACACCACCTCTACAACCCACAACCTAACCTTCACCAAACTCTGCATGCCCATCAACCAGTGCTCGTCACACTCCACAATCTCCCCATGGATTGAATCCAAGTTCTTCATCTATAAAACCCTTCAATCCCTAACGCACATATCCGTGATCTTCTTCTATCATGGCTCATCATACTCAAGTCAAGTCCCTTGCTCCCTCTGTCCCATCATCAGTAGCTGAGCCTTCAGCAACTGCACCCCCATGCTGCGGTCCTCTCTTCACTTTTCTGTCTCACCCTTTTTATCTGTCTTTAAATACCACCTGGAACTGACCTCTTCGACTGTGCCTATGGTCACCTCCCCTTCCTTCTTTCACTCCACCCTTTGCTTGGAGTCCAACACCATCTCTGTGAATTGCTCCGAGAAATTCGCTTACGTGAAGGGTGCTATACAGGTGCAAAGTGCTTTTGTGCTACCTGCAATGTTCAAATGGAAAAGAAAATGAAAAGGACACGTACCTTGGTTCCTTCTTTCGTACTGGAATTTATAATTTTAATGAACGAGTAGAACAACTGTCGAATTCTGGAATCTCCTACAAATGCTACGTATTGTTTCGTAAGACAGCTCTTTGCTTCACTGTGGGAAGAGAAAGATGTTCGTTCAATTAAAAAGTAATTCAGAAAACATTTTCATTGGAATAGCAATAACTTACTTTGTGTGAATGTGCACCTTCGTAATCTAGTGATTTCAAAATAGTGAACTATCAATGAAATAATATCAACTCAATTTTTAGACTATTGGACCTGGACCTTGACAGCATCAAGATGGCTGGCACATCACAAGTTGTCCTGTAAAGATCCTCCCACCGCACTGAAAGCTGATGTCTGCTGGATAATAATAATAATAATCCTTGCATTTGATATAGCGCTTTTCACGTCGGGAGGACGTCCCAAAGCGCTTCACAGAACACACTGTCAAGTGAATTGACTGTATATTTGTGGGCGAACGCGGCAGCCAATTGCGCACAGCAATGGCCCACAAACAGTCGAAGATTGAAAATGACCAATTTATTATTGTTTTTGGTTTTGGAGGGATTATTATTAGGCTCTGTGTGGAGTGAGGAAACTTGCCCAAGGTTTCGCCCTCTGCCTGGAATTGAACTCAGGTCTCTCACTTGCAAAGCGAGTGCTCTAACCACTGAGCTACAGGACTCCATGAGCTTGGATAGCTGATGAGGAAACTCTGAGGCTTTGGGCAACAAGTACCTGGATCTCCAGGTAAGAGTCTGAGTTTGTGAAATGCCCAAGAACTTTTACCAGCAGTCCAAGTTCGTGAACACACATTCAAATCCAGCGCCTGGATTCCATCTTGATTTGACGTGCAAAAAGATAAGCAGCTGCTGCTTAAACTCCGCACCTCCAACTGGTACAGCTGTTGCTCAATGGGAAGGGATGTGTGCCCAAGGTGCAGACAGGACTTAGGTGCCACCTAGGCCAAAGTCCTAGGTGGCAGATGTTGATAATGACTTGCAGAACTACAATCTTGATTATAAAATGTTGTTTTAATTAAACTGAGCTGGATCGCAGAACTTCTAAGCGTAACAAGTGTCACAGGGTAGCTGGTATAATACTAGACAAAATGGTATGGGAAAATGTCAATATGCTGTGCATTCTATTATGAAGAGTTAAATTGGCCCAAGGCTGATGTGATTAAAATAATCAGGTGGATGAAAAAGTACTGCACTGATCAGCCTGAAGTACATAACTATGATATAAAGTATGGCTGAGCTACACTTAGTGATGTGAGAGTGAGTCCATTGCTTACTCACCCAGAAGGGCAAAATTCCCAACCCAGGTTCTGAGATTCAAAAGAGTGCAAAAAGTTGTAAAAGATTCAACTGCAACTATCAACAAGGTTCTCAAACAAAAGCATTTTATCCACTGCCTATGAACTTGATATTGTCAGCATGGTGACGGACTATATGTGAGTACAAAAGCAACTGCTTATTGAATTAATGCAAAGCTATACATGTTTTTTGCCTAAGGAATTAAATGAGCGATTAAGCATAGAATAAAAACGACTACGATTCCTGTCTTCTCGGGTTCCCGACGTTATACTTCGGCTAAACAGCACAAGCTGGCCAATTCTAGTCTTTTTTCCCAGGCTAACCTGAGCAGTTAGTTCTACTCTGGACGCACCTTACAAACAAAATACCAGAGATTTAATCTGTACTGTTTAATTCAATTACATCTTGCAATATACAGAGTTAAATGATTTTCATGTGATCTACTGAAAAATAAAAGTGCAGTGAGCACATTTCAAATGTATTCTTTCAGCAAGTACTTTTAATTCTACTTTGAAAGAAAGAAGGGGTTAGGCTGGTTGGTGGTTTTGGCCACATCAGCTACTGGAAAAAAAGATTATTTGCACAGTCATATTTGATTTTAACATATAAACCCTAAGTAAATGCTAAGCACAGTGGCAAATAATAAACAGGTGGCACATGAAGAAACATCACCTTATTTTGTTCAAATAAATACTTGGGCATTGTTCATATGAATCTGTCGAATTTTCTTTTGAGATGGCTCCCACCCACTATTCTCTATGTAACATCCTACATTTATCTACACTGCTGTGAACTTATTTAGACCTTTCACCCGAACTTCTGTGGTTCTCATTGTGACATAAATCAGTCTCCACATGCCCATCAATCCCATCCTCACCCAGTTCCACCAACCCCCATTTTCCAGTGGATCAATTTTTCAACATTTTCCGATTGCCCTTTGTCCCTTCAAATTTTAATCACCTTTGACTCACCATATCTTTGCAATCTTCTCCAGCCCCATTCTCCCACCCACTCCTTTTGTTCTGCAACCATACCACTAGACTGGTTTTGCAAGCTACTGGAATTCACAATGTAGATGACAGAGACACTTACAATAATAGTTATTAAATATTATGCAGCACAATTCTTTTATATATAAATGTACGTGTAAATAGGGCCTTTCATGTCAGGAGGATGTCTCAAAGAGGTTCACAGTACTGCATGCACACCCAAGCTAGGGTTGGGAACCGAATGGAGTGGGGAAGGGAAAGTTGACTGAAAGTGTGGTCAAGGAGCTACATTTTGAGCCTTGAAAAGGGAGAGGGAGGGAGCAAGTTGGAGGGACTCTGAGATGGAGTTCCAGAGAGTGGGCACAGAATGGTTGAAAGCCCACTCAGTGACGGTGGGTGGAAGACATAGGGAGAGGAGTAGGCCATTCAGCCCTTTGAACCTGTTCCGCCATTTAATTAGATCATGGCGCAAGACAGTGTTTATTGAGCATAGGGAGCAGATGGGTTGATCTGATTGGATGGTGACAGTGTTTTAAGATGAAATATCAAATATCAAAGTCCTGTAGCTAAGTGGAGTCCTGTAGCTCAGTATTTAGAGCGCTCGTCTTGCAAGCGAGAGGCCTGGGTACAATTCCAAACAGGGTGAAACTTAGGCAAGTTTCCTTACCCCACATGCCTGATAATAAACCCTCAAGAAAAAAAAAACAGTAATAAATTGGTCACTTCAATCCAATTTGTGGGACACTGCTGTGCGCAATTGGCTGCTGCGTTTCATCCACAAATATACAGTCAACTCACTTTCCCGTATATTCTGTGAAGCGCTTTGAGACGTCTAGAAGATGTGAAAAACGCTATATCAAACACAAGGATTATTATTATTTATTTATTAAATACAAGTAAGGCATCTTAACAAAACCAGAAACGGCCGATTTGAAATGTGTAGTACACAACCGGACAGACATCAAAAAACGTTGCAGACTTGGTAGGAATGCAGCTTTATAGCGCATTAATACAACGCATTATCACTTCGTTAAGATATCTCATAGCGCTTCATAGCATATATTGTAAAGTTGAGGGAACTGTATCTGCAGAGGTTTATCATATTGCTTGTTTGAACAGGAACGCTCTGATATGTGCTATATCAATCGCTATAATGTGGCATTCCTACCAAGTCTACAACATTTTTTGCTGCATGTTTATAAAGTGAGTTCCTGCATATAAAAAAATGCAACTAATGCTTTGTATTGTACAGAATCCTTCATTGTGAGCTCTTGATAATAAGATAGAGAATTATTTAAAAGCACAGGAAAATCATCCAGTGCATGGAGTGGCAGAGCATTCCTGTTCAAACAAGCAATATGATAAATCTCTGCAGATACAGTTCATGTTTATCGTCCACAAAATAGACAATCCACTTTACAGTATACTCTGTGAAGCGCTATGAGACATCTCAACAACATGATAATGCACTATATGAAATGCAAGGATTATTATTATGATAATACAAAGAATTCTGCAGAACGTCAGTTTCCATCTTCAATTTTTTAAATCTTATAATGATTAAAACTTAAATCTAAAGTAGTTTAAATCTTTACCTGCACCAATTCTGCTGGCTAAGTGAACTTTCCCAGGGTGCCATGTTACACAGCCACTCACCTGATTTTGTATTTGTGCATCATGCAGCCATCGGGCTGCCACACATTTTCACCAAGGAAGCGACCACTGATAGGAGCCGCTCACAGGTATCCCCACCTGGAGAGAAATTATCACAAATTAGTAAGAAATAAAGCTCCCAAATAATTGTCCATCTTTTACAAAGAAAAGGTTCAAGGAGCAACAAAGTCTCGAATAATTGATGACTTTACATTAAAAAGGGCTAGAAAAGGTAGAATAACAAATGAAGGATTATTATATGTATTATAATATTGCATACCACTCTTCAAGTCACAAATCTATAGTGTGGTGGTGCTGGGAGATGTAAATGTATCTTAGTCTGATTATTTAACCTACACACCAAGGTGATCCCTTGACCAAAAGGAAGAGGTGTCCACAATCCTCCAAGGCTAATACAGTAAAACTCACATAAGTTGTATCAGTTGGGACCATATCATTTAATTAGGACTTACACGATGTCCAAATTGGAGGTAACCTGTATAGGTTGTATGAAATTCGGTTTACTTAATAATTTACACTGTGCATGTGTGATTCAATGCAGCCAGTAAGTGCGTATGCAGTGACGGGTCAAGACTACATTTCCCGCAATTCATTGTGTTTTGACCCGTCGTCACATGTGCAAGCATTGAAATCGCATTAAATTGTGGGAAATCAAATTCTTTTGTGCAAATGTCGACAGATCAAGACTATGTTTCCATGTAGCCAGCTGGTAAGTGTCAGGATGTCATTTCCCGCTATTCAATGTGACCGGTAAATGTGGGACTTATAATGGATAGGGGAGCGACATTACGAGTTAGGAGGTGATTAATACAAGTACTGCAAAGAAATCTAAGCGGAGTCCTGTAGCTCAGTGGTTAGAGCACTCACTTCGCGAGCGAGAGACCTGAGTTCAATTCCAGACAGAGCGAAACCTTGGGCAAGTTTCCTTACTCCACACACCTAATAATAATCCCTCCAAAACAAAACAATAATAAATTGGTCATTTTCAATCCACGACTGTTTGTGGGACACTGTTGTGCACAATTGGCTGCCGCGTTTTGCCCACAAATATACAGTCAATTCACTTTACAGTATATTCTGTGAAGCGCTTTGAGACGTCTAGAAGATGTGAAAAGCGCTATATCAAATGCAAGGATTATTATTATTATCAGTGTTTTTGATAGGAAACTGAATGTCACTCGGGTGAATGTATGACCTTGGCGATTAAATGATTTAGAAAGATAAGACTTGTAAGTTTTATTATATTCAGATTTGCTTGGGATTTTTTGCATTGTGCTTTTCTTAATTTTCCCTATTGTAACATTCATCTCATTTTCAGAGAACAAGTACTGGCATTAGAAATACATTTAGCTGCAAATTCCTGCTTGCTGAACCCAATTACTCCCTCCCCCCCCATTAGTCTGGCTAGCTGGGATTTGGGATTTAAGTGTATGCATTTACAAAATACAATCACTGGCCACTCACTTCAGGAATGTACTTCTCTAAGCTTCAGTACAAGTATTTTTTTGAGAGACCTGGCAGCAATATTTGTCCACAAAACGCACCGTCGATGCACTTTGCAGTGTATCCTGTGAAGGATTGGGATGCCTTCCTGGTGTGAAAGGCACAGGTAAAGGGTACACAATGAAAAAACCTTTAAAGAGTAAAGAGAAATATAACCCCCCAAGGACCAAAAAGAGTTAGTGTTTAAATCGATGTTGAGAAACATATTTTAAGGAAGGCAATAATATAATTGCATATTTTAGTAAGTTCCATTTATGAATTGTCTCCAGTTATTTATTTACAGAGGTAGATACAATCCTAAACCAAGAAAATGGTGAAATAAGCTTCCACTTTTCAATCAGCAGTCACAAGTGAACTGGAAGGTCCATATCTACCCTCAATATCAGCTTAGTCATATACTTCCTCATTTCTTCAGCTGACGCATATGTTTTGCTTTTGCAAGTTTGATCGCTGTGTTCATACAGGGGCAAAGTTCACTCTTATGGTTTATATATCAGAATTCTTCAATATATTCCTGGCTTGTAAATAATAAATAATTCTTCCATTTGATAGAATGTCTTATCACGTTGAAATATCTCAAAGCACTTCTCAAAGAGTTTTTCCTTAAAATGTATATTTGTACATTGCAGCCAAATGTAACAGCCAATGTCCCACAACCAACCATGAAATGAATTACAAATTCTATCTGGAGGATTTTTGGCCAGGACATTGGTAGAAATTCCATTTTCGCTCTGATTAATGCCATGGAGTCCTAAAGCTTAGGAACATAGGAACAGAAGTAGGCCATTCAGCCCTTGGAGCCTGTTCCGCCATTTATTTAGATCATGGCTGATCTGTACCTCAACTAATCCTTTCACTTCCAATTTCACGCTTTTTCCCCATATCCCTGACTACCCTGACCCACCAAGTATCTATCAACCTGATCCTTGAGGGTGTGGATGGATCCAGCATCCACGGCCTTTTGGGGGAGAATTCCAGATTTCTTCTACCCTTTGAGTGAAAAAATGCTTCCTGATTTCACTCTTAAATGGCCTGGTTCTAATTTTAAGACTATGCCCCTTGTTTTGGATTCCCCACCAAAGGAAATAGCTTCTCTGTATCTACCCTATCAAATCCCTTTATCATCTTAAATACCGCAATCAAATCGCCCCTCAACCTTCTAAACACAAGGGAATACAATCCAAGTATTCGCAGCCTTTCCTCATAACTTAACCCTTTTAGGCCTGGTAACATTCTGTGGACCTGCGCTGCACCCCCTCCAGGGCCAATATATCTTTCCTGAGGGGTGGTGCCCAAAACTGAACGCAGTCTCCAGATGGGGTCGGACTAACTCTCTGTACGGCTGAAGCATCATTTCTTCCCCTGTTGTATTCCAGGTCCTTTAAGATAAAAGCCAACATTCCATTCGCCTTTTTGATTACTTTTTGCACATCAGAACGAGCTTTTAGTGATTTGTGGATATGGACACCCAAATCTCTTTGCTCTCCACAGTTCTTAATTTCTCCCCATTAAGACAATATCCTGTTTTATCTTTTTTTGAGCCATAGTAGATGACCTTGCACTTCCCTACATTCAACTCCATCTGCCACAGCTTTGCCCACTCACTTAATCTGTCTAAATCCCTTTGTAACTTACTTCTCCCATCCACACAATTTATTAAGGCCTTCTAGCTTAGTGGCGTCTGCAAACTTAGATATAAAACTTTCGATTCCTTCATCCAAGTCATTTATATATATGGCGAATAGCTGAGGTCCCAGTACAGACCTCTGGGGGACACCACTTGTAACGTCCCGGCAATCAGAGAACATTCCCTTTATCCCTACTCTTTGTTTCCTGCCTCCCAACCAATTACCAAGCCACGGCACAAAGCTACGTCCGACTCCATGTGCTTCTATTTTCGCTAATAATCTTTTAACCTTATCATATGCTTTCTGAAAGTCCATTTAAACAACATCCATAGACACTTCTTTATCCACCATTTTAGTGACCTCCTCAAAAAATTCAACTGGATAAGTCAGACTGACCAACAAACCCATGCTGACTCTCTTTGACTCGCTCATACCTGTCCAAATGTTCAGTCACTCTGTCCCTGATGATGGATTCCAGTATTTTTCTCACAAGTGACTTTAAGCTGACAGGTCTGTCTGTAGTTTCCCTGGTTTCGTTCTGCCTCCCTTCTTAAATAAAGGGGTGACATTCATAATTTTCCAATCTAAGGGCACAATTCCCAAATCTAGTGAGCTTTGGAAAATTATGACGAATGCATTTGCAATTTCCTCTCCTATTTCCCTTAACACCCTTGGGTGGAAACTATCAGGTCCTGGAGATTTATCTATCTTGGTGGTTAAAGCACTCTCCTTGCAAGCGAGAGGACCTGGATTTGATTCCCAGGCAGGCCGAAATGGTGGGCAAGTTTCCTTATTCCACACATCTCTGCTTACCTGCTATCCACCCTGCTTACCCCCCACTCCACCATTCACTGCCTCCAGCTTCCTGTTTGTCCCTCATCCCTTCCGTTCCGCCATCGGTGGCCGTGCCGTAGGCCACTACGCCCCGAAACTCTGGAACTCTCTCCCTCAATCTTGCCCCCTCCCTCTCTACCTTCAAATCCCGCCTAAAGACCTTCCTTTTTGATCATGCTTACGGTCACCTCTCCCCTCGACTCGTTGTCACCGACTCCGTTACTGTGAAGCGCTCCGGGGTGCTATCCCACGTGAAGGACGCTATATAAATGCAAGTTGTTGTTGTTCTTTGTTTATCTAGCAGTACTTAGAAATCTGGCACTGAATTCATCCAATAGCTCTGTTATGATTTCCAAAAAACTAAAAAAATTAGCCTCATCAAGCTCAGTTGCATGATGGAAAATGGATGAGCTCATTCTGCAAGAGGGATGAGTTCAACAGTTGTAGCTTTATGCTGAACCGATCAACATCTCCCATAAGCTGCAAAATATTCTGATTTCTACCTTGTAGTTAAAGATTGACAATGTTGAGATGGCTTGTTGTGTCTTTTAAGAAAGCCAATAAACATAGGTACGTTGGATCTTCTAATTCCCCTGCAAACTGTGTGGTGTTGTTCTTTACATGTTCCTTGAGAAATGTAAGTACTTCCTTCCTAAATGCAAAAAAAATGCACAAGGCAGTTGCGCACACTCAGCCAACGTACTTCTGAATAAATCACAATATTCTGTCCCTAATTCTTCAAGGAAGTTTATGAACTTTCTATGACTCTGCTTGATTTCATCCATGGATAATACTGATCATTTTGATGACACTAGTCATCACATTACTCATTCTCACTGTTATTCTGCAAAGGGACTCCTGGTGTATAATGCAGAGGCAGGTAGTACATTCAATTCCATTTTGTTTCAGCAAGCCAACCAAACAGTTTTTACAGCAGGTCATTGATTTTGCATCATCCGTCACGATGCAGGAACACTAATGAAATCCACCGTATTTACTGACAGTTGAAGTAAGAAGCTTGTAAATATCCAACCCCTTTATAGCAGTTTTCAGAGGAATTAACTCAAGTCATTCTCCATGGACAACAAAATTTCATGAAAATTAATAGCTGGT